ACCACAACCACCACAACCATAGTAACCACAACGACCACAACCACCACAACCACCACAACCACCACAACCACCACAACAACCACAACAATTACAACAACCACAACAACCACAACAACCACAACCACTACAACAACCACAACAACCACAACCACTACAACAACCACAACAACCACAACAACCACAACAACTACAACAACCACAACAACCATACTAACCACAACAACCACAACCACAACAACCACAACAACCACAACCACCACAACCACAACAACCACAACATCAACCACAACAACCACAACAACCACAACAACCACAACAACCACAACAACCACAGCAATTACAACAACCACAACAACCACAGCAACCACAACAATTACAACAACCACAACAACCACAACAACCACACCAACCACAACAACCACAACAACCACAACAACCACAACAACCACAACAACCACAACAACCACAACAACCACCACCACAACCACAACCACAACAACCAACACAACCACAAACACAACCACAACCACAAACCACAACAACCACAACAACCACAACAACCACAACAACCACAACAACCACAACAGCCACAACAACCACAACAACCACAACAACCACAACAACCACAACAACCACAACAACCACAACAACCACAACAACCACAACAACCACAACAACCACAACAACCACAACAACCACCACAACCACCACAACCACCACAACCACCACAACCACCACAACCACCACAACAACCACAACAACCACAACAACCACAACAACCACAACATCAACATCATCAACACATCAAAAATTGTGAGTTCTGCAGACATGCAGACAGCCAAGGACCAAAGATGCAATGTATTTGCGAGTTATTTGCTGCGTTTGTCTTCAAAAAGGAGCACTATGCCACCTATGTATGAGCCGTTGTCACAATTCATTGTCTTCGCTTGGTGCCCGAAAATTGGGTATCGGTTTTGGGGGGGGGGTCCTATGGCTATCCATGGTTTTGCAAAAAAAGGCAAGGAAGAGGAACGGAAGAGAAAAGGAAAAGGAAAAGGAAAGGGAAAAGGAAAAGGGAAAGGGAAAGGAAAGGAAAATGATTGGGAAGAGGAAAAGAAAAGGAAAGGAAGAGGAAAGGAAAAGGAAAGGAAGAGGAAAGGAAAAGGAAAGGGAAAGGGGAAAGGAGAAGGAAAGGGAAAGGAAAGGAAAATGATTTGGAATAGGAAAAGAAAAGGAAATGAAGAGGAAAGGAAAAGGAATGGAAAAGGAAACGAAAAGGAAGGGAAGAGGAAAGGGAAAGAAAAGGAAAGGAGTAGAGGCAGAGGAAGGGAAAAAGAGGAAAGGAAAAAGGAAAGGATCTATTTGTGGTCTGGTCTGGGGCTACTTTTCGAACAAATGGGTATCGCTAGGGGTATCGCTAATTTAGCCTCTTGCATGTACGTAGCTTTGTGCAAAACAACTTCAGATGTGGACATTATTCACACTTATAGGTATCGCTTTTGGGGGGCCTTATCGCTACACAGTGTTTTGTGCATTTTCCAGACACCAGAGAAATCTCCTTACATAAGTACTATACCAGAGTTTTGACTGTACCTCATATGTAGATTTTGGCGGGATTGCAATGCAGAAATGCGCACAACAAACGAGGTTTTGGATACGCACCCAACCCTCACAGCATCGCCGATGTGTGAAGCTCTACAATAAACTATTTGACAAACAAGCAACCCTTAAGTTGCAAGAAATCTCTAAACATTGACGAGCAACATTGTGGTATGATTTGTCGTGGTAGTCGTTTTCATTGTCAACATGGTCTGTGACGAGTGGTTGTGCTAGTAGTGATGGTAGTCGTGGTGGTTGTCGTAGTAGTGGCTGCGGTTGTCGTGCTGATGGTGGTGGTAGTGGTGGTAGCCGTGGTGGTTGGAGTAGTGGTAGTGGTAGCAATGGTGGTAGTCGTGGGGGTTGTCGTAGGGGCTGTTGTGGTGGTAGTAGCGGTAGTAGTGGTGGTAGTAGTGGTGGTTTTAGTGGTCGTGGTGGTAGTAGTGGTGGTAGTGGTGGTAGTGGTTGCAGTGGTGGTAGTCGTGGGGGTTGTCGTAGGGGCTGTTGTGGTGGTAGTAGTGGTTGTAGTAGTGGTGGTTTTAGTGGTGGTTTTAGTGGTCGTGGTGGTAGTAGTGGTGGTAGTGGTGGTACTGGTTGCAGTGGTGGTAGTAGTGGTGGTAGTAGTGGTGGTGGTTGTCGTGGTTGTCGTTGTCGTGCTGGTTGTAGAAGGTAGAGGGGCGCAATATCCCCAATTCCTTCCTTGACAAGCACTATCCTTCACAAAGCACCATTCACCCTTTGGATCATTGTCGGGATTGCCTTGGTTGCACTGGACGACAGGCATATTGCGCAAGGCTAAGGATGTAAGGTATTAAAACAGAGATCAATACTTGGAGGTTCTCAAAGCTAAGTTGCAACAGTAGGTCTCACAGGCTTGCTTGGAACCCCAAAGGTTCCAGTACTGGAGGCATTCGCACTTCATTGTAGTAACCCTGAGGGACAAGCACTTCAAGATTGCACAATGCACCGCTACAAATACTACGAAACGGTAGCAAAAGAGGCAGAGCAAACCTTAAAGGTGGTGATTCTTTGCAAGCCACACCAAACCTTGCAAGACAGTTGAGTTAAAAATAGGCATCATCTTTAAGTGCTTCTCACCATCAAAACAGCCACGGGAGCCGGGAAAACACACAAGGCGCAATGACTCGGAAAGTCTGAACCACTGCCTGAATGGTGGAGTTGTCGTAGTGGTGGTTGTTTGAGACACAGTTTGCACAGTGGTGGTTGTGACTTCCGTGTCGTCGGACTCCACAAACCTTAAGATAACTCGCGCAACAGCTTGACAAAATCTAAGACCATGCTCGGTGGTATCCCACTGAACCGCCGAATCCTTGATGTAGTGGCCCAGATCGAACCCGCAGTGTGCTGGTATCAATCCATATAATTCATGGTAAATTCCCTAATAGAATTTTATACAAGTGTATACAAGTGTACTACATATCAATGTTGCTTCTTAAATGTGATGCACAACTACAGTCACAACGAATCCAAGTGGTCCAAAAGCGAGGTCCAAAACCGGGCACCATATTTTTGTCGAGACACTTTCCACTACAGCGGTTCACGTCCTCAGGTGCCCCGAAGTTGAACTGTCGCTGTCATGTCGACTGTTAAAATGACAGTAACCAGAGGATATGGGGGGTTCATGGGGGTTCCATAGTCATGGGGTTACCCCAGCTAGATGGTTTTTTTCATGGGAAAATACGATTAAAATTTGGATGAATTTGGGGTACATGGATTGGAAACCTCCATATCGGTGTCGATATTCGTGTCAGCCAAGCCACGCTGTTCATTTGCCGACACATCTCTTGTTTTCTGTATCGCGTGTTGAATTGATAGATACCGTTCAACTTGCCATCTCCATAGTCCATGATGCCTGGCCCAGTTCGCCCATGTTCGCCCTCAGAGTGCTCCATGTTTTTCTTCTAGAACAACTCTTTGTGGAAGCCTTCCCATTTAATTCATCAAACAATGAAGAGATATGTTGTTCGAAGATTTTTGAAGTGTCCTCCCTGCCTCCAGTTTTTCCTTGACCATTTTCAAACGAGTGTTGACCTCATTCGCGGCATCTGAAGCCCCTTCTGGGGTATCAGAGCCAATGGTCAATGAAATTTCAGATCCTGGTGATTTTTAAATCTGCCTTTCCCTCAAAGATCTTCAAATGTTATTAGTTTTGCATAGTTTTGCGCTCACAGTCTTCATTGCAGATCAGAAAAGCAAAACATCAAGACAACGCTTGAGATATCTTGATGAATCATGCGATATCTTGCGATGAATCATGATCCACATCTCCATAAGGTACTCTTGTCGTTGCCATCCTGGACAGTGCTCCCTGGCTTTTTTTCTATGGGGATGTCGTGTGGGGATTCTTCTATGGTATCCTGGAGTCCAGGCACCTCCGAAATTGTGCCCCAATTCATGGGCGAAAATGAGCCAGGCTTTTTGTAGCTTGGAAAGCTCGTTCACTCCTCAAGCCGTGAGCACGGTGAACAGCTCGGTGCTCAGCTATGATAAATATTTGTGATACTTAGGTGATGCATTTTAGCCTTCTCCGTCTGTGAGTTGAAATGAAGGATCATGAAGGTCAAAACTCACAGGAGACTGGAAAACATATATAAGTAACTGCATGCTCTCCTGTATTGTAGCCACGTTTGTCACACATACCACCACGCCAGGCAATACCAACCGTGCCATAACCATTGCCACAGCCCGTGAAAAGGTGTAGTGCTCCTCAGGACAAAAGGCTGGTACGGGCCCATCATAGCGCTGGAACCGATACACGGAACTCTCCAGACTTTCAATTTCATTGGAATATCCTGGGCAACCCAGACTTACAATATCTTACAGTAACTTGCCATAGATTCAATAGAGAACTTGGAAGTCTCGTCTCTTCCCACTCCAAATTGTGTAGGAAAGGTTGTTATATGTTTTTCTGTCATGCTCTTCAACACTGAGCAAGGACGAGGTTCCAGTGAATGGATGCGCTCTGTAGTCGGCCTGCAGATCTTCTAGCCTTCAGTCAGAAACAACTCACATCCACTGAATCTGGACAAATTGCAAAACACGCCGTGGGTTTCCCAGGAAACAGATGGAAACAGGCAAATTTTAGGATAAACTTGGTACCCTCTGGTAAACTGTCCCATAACTATGGAAAATCACCATTTTTAGTGGGAAAATACACTATTTCGACTGGGCCATTTTCTATGTCGCAAACTGTCAACGTTGACCAGGCCGGGGCCATTCTACCAGGGGCAGAATCATCGATTGAATCGGAGAATCCAAGAGACTTGGTCTGCTTGTCACTGCAGGAGCGAGCAAAGCGCGGTGCCCCATCGTTGGTTTTGTAGAGCTTCATCTAAGTCGTCAAAAATTCACAACCCAAAAGATACTGCATTTGAAATTGATCAACCAAACTCATGTTGAATTGATCCATGTTCATAATTTCTTTGGAGTGCCAGTGCCTTTGGAAGAACAAATAGGACAGTCAAGGGGTGGTCCATTGAAATGTGAGCAAGTAAGCCTAAGCCAGCAGCGTATCCAATCTTCAGCACGATATTGAACCTCAGCTTAAAATGCAGCGAATGAGATTCGAAAACACCGCGAATTAAAGGCGAATACGAAAGCAATGTCAAGGTGCTGCTTCTCATAGATGAACGAAGCCTCTGCGACAACCTACACGTGCAGGGAACATACGTTCATACATAGATATACTGAGATGAACACATGATGTGTATATATATATACTGTATATACGTTCCGTGTGTATCGTGTATGTATGTATAATATACAATAGAGATATCATGTATGCGTATACACAGTCACAGTCACATTAGATTATCTATGTATACATCTATCTGTATCTTATATGTATGTATATGTATATAATTATATACCCTCTGGTAAACTGTCCCATAACTATGGAAAATCACCACCATTTTTTATGGGTAAACTCACTATTTCTATGGCCAATAGCTATGTTAGTCATAACCAGAGGGTACAGTGTGTGTGTGTGTTTTTTTACCAAGACCATCCCGTTGGGGCTTTCCATCGTCCTGACATTTCAGGCCTGCTCTATGTTCGACTGCAGCTCGTCCCCGTGCTTCCTCCATGCTTCCACGTCCTGAGCTGAGCGCATTCTCCAAGGCGCCTTTAACGGCGCCTTTAACGGCTCACGATGGAAATACCGCAGTTGATAACACTTTGAAATCATATTATTTGATAATATCAAATATAATACACTTTAACAATAGTGATGACTTTGATATAATACATTTTAGATCATTTTACCAACAACAAACAGCACTATTGTACCACTATTGTACATAGCAGCCATCAAAGTCATCACTTCTGCGAAGTTTCTGCCACTGTTCCGATCACAAAGTCATGCAGGCTGGCGTCTCCTCAAAAGTCAAAACCAGGTAACCAACTTTGACGACAGAAAAAAATGTATCCAAAAAATCCGACAATCATGTATACCCTCTGGCAATTTAACAGTTTGCTATTGAAAATAGACATTTATACTTGATTTACCTATTAAAAATGGTGATTTTCCATAGCTATGTTAGTTTACCAGAGGGTATCCCTCTACTGCCACTTGCTTCTGCTTGGAAAGACAATCTTGGAAGGCTGCATGCACTGCATGCAAGTCAGAACAGTCGTCCTGAATAGCAGCCTGACGGGCCCATCAACATCATCAACTCTTTTTTCACATTCCAATCTTCACTGACTTCACTGTCACTTCACTGTCACAGCGGACTCACTTTTAAATCTGTACTTCACTGTCACAGCACATCAAATGTGGTACCCTCTGGTAATTTAACATAGCTATGGAAAATCACCATTTTTAATGGGAAAACTTACTATTTCTATGGCCATTTTCAATAGCTATGTTAGTTTACCAGAGGGTAAACGCACCTGGAAACCATGGGTTTCCACCCCAAGTCGTCGGATCTAATGATGCCATCGCCTCCTCCATGGGGAGGCCTGTCCTGTCCTCAGTCGCCACGGCGCCGGAGGAAGCGATGGCAGTGGCGAAGTTTCGCCAAGGAACTGGGATGATCCAGCCGCTGTCACTGACCTGGAGCATCTACTCACCAAATCGGAGACAAGGACTGGATGGTACATGGTAAATCCATAGTAAATCCATAGTAGATTCATCGTAAATCCATGGTGTGAATTGTGAGCCTCACAATGTGATTTGCACATATCCATGTGCTTCTTTTTCCTTCGACCTTTTGGGATCAATCCCCTTTACAGGGTAACCTAGGGATTTCCCATGGGACAACTGCCTTGTGGCTTCGCGACCGCGACCCCGGCATTGCAAAAGGGCCGCCTACCTTTCACTGTGTTGCACTTCGTGTGGCATTCGGTTCCCCAGCTACCGAAACAACATTGGTAGCGGAGCCAGCTGGCTCTGGCTATCCGAGCTCTACTACGACCACTTCAACAGGGACTTTGACAACAACGAGCCCATCACTACGCCCATCCTACAACTTTGTCGGTATCTTCACCATCTTCATCCTTTGCTGCGCTGCTACATCCTGGACTATGACTTCAACATCCTCTTCGACGAACGTCACCATGGACCTGGTCAAGGACACGTACATCCCGATCTTCTCGAACCGCCCAGAAGATTACCGTGAATGGAGGACTCGAATAGTCCTATACAAGAAGAAGCTGGACATACAGAAGAAGAGCAAAGAGGCCTGCATCAACCTGATGACGAGCCTGACCGGGACAGCATGGAGGCAGATCGAGCATATGGTGGATCGAGCTTCCGAGGATGACAAAGGCTTCGAGGCCATCCTGAAGGAGCTCGACAAGACTTTCAAGTATGATGATCAGGTTGAGATGCCTCGGGCTTTTGAACGCTTCTTCTACGGGACTTCGAGGAGAGACGGGCAGACGCTCTTGAACTATGTGGCCGCGCACCGAGAGGCCTTGACCGAGGTTGAGAAACACGGCATCAAGCTGCCGGACAATGTCGCTGGTTGGATACTCTTGAGGAGAGCTGGTTTGACAGCAGAGCAGAAACAACTAGTCCAAGGCCGAGCACCTGACTTCGCCCAACAAGCTGTGACTGAGGCTTTGTACTTCCTCCTGGGTCAGGACTTCAAAGGGAGAGCCAATGACCAATGGAGAGGCAAGGGCTATGGAACTTCCTCCAACAGGTGGTCATCACGACAGCATGGCTACATGATGGACGAGGTCTATGAGGCTGAGGAGGAGGACTATGACTACGACGATGTGACCGCCGACCCCGACTGGGATGAGACCTGGGATGAAGCCTACGTGGAGGAGGACTTCAACGACGAGACCAACTACTACACCGCCAACGAGGAGACGGACTTCAACGACGAGACCTACCTGGAGGTTGAGCAGAACTTCGAAGAAGTCTACGCCACCTACTTGGACGCGAGGAGACAGATGGCACACTTGAAGGCGAGCCGTGGATTTTTCCCTGTGGTCGCCCTGACAGACCAAGGATCTATGGCTGGATCCCCAACTTCCCTGGGCAGCAAGCTGTCCTCAGAGTGGCGCTACGCGATCTTCACCTACATCACGGCAGAGCCCTACATCGACTCCTACCTCATCACCTTCGAAGAAGGCAAAGACTGACGGCTCAGCCATGATGGTCAGAGACATGGCCAAGCTTGGTCCTCGAGGAGTTCCCCATCTTGGACACCAAGGTTGGTATGGAATTCAAGACGGAGGTGCAAGCTCAGTGGTTTGTGGTCACGAGACCCTCATGAAGATCATCGACTACATGCGTGGCCGAGGAGTTCAACCAGAACGCTTCCTCTTCATGCCGACCAACAAGACTTTCGGTTTTGGAGGTGTGATGCTTCGAGGCAGGCAGATTGGCCGGTGAGGCTTCCAGTCTACTTGTCTGGCAAGGCTGGATACATGGAATGTTTCATTGTGGAGGGAGCGACACCCCTTCTCATCGGACGACCAATACTGCAAGCTCTGAAGCTACAGATGAACTATGATACCAACCAGATGTCCCTGCAGGACGGACCATGGACCGATGTGGTCTTGGGAAAAAAGGGTGAGTTCCTCATCAAGCTGGACGACGGCGTGGAGAATGACCCCACTGGATCCTATGTGGACTTCGACTTTGTCACCAACGAGACCTATGCAGCGATCTCGAACTATGAGGACTTGGAGAACTACATCGACGTCCATGAGTACCTCTCCACGACCAACAGAACCCCACCAGAGACGGCTTTTCAGACTGAGGAGCCCGAGACGAACACCATCGAGATTGACTCCCCGGACGCTCCTGCCGAGGACCCCACAGAGATCAGGCGATCCATCACCGACAAACTGGTGAAGTCGCTTCACATGAACTTCAACAAGTTTTCAAAGCAGCGACGAACTGTGATGGAACAAGCTCTGCATGCACATGAATCTGGACGCAAGGTGTTCTGGGAGGTGTACTCCGGCAGTGCCAACCTCTCCACTGCCATGGCTCAAGCAGGTTGGGAGATCATGTCTTTCGACTACAACACAGGATGGGATTTCACGATTGGATCTCATCGAAGAGAGTAAGGAGTTTCTACAGCTCTTGGACGCCACCTGCCCTGAGTTTGTTTGGATGGCACCACCATGCACCATTTGGCCCAACCTGCAGAACTTGACCCCGATGACACCACAACGACAACTTGCACTTCAAGCTGATCGGGACTATGAGGAGAACACCCACTTGAAGATGTGCAAGCGGGCATTCCAGAAACAACAACGAGAAGGTCGCCACGCCGGACTTGAACAACCCAAGAATGCACGCAGCTGGCATACTCCAACTTTGGAGGCCATCGAGGGCTACGACGCCATCTTTGAGATGCCCACGACATCTACCTATCGAAGGATCCTCACCTGGACTTGGACCTCGAGCTCAAGCTGCTGGTGAATATCAACCCCAGATGTGCGCCTACTTCGTCGACGCCATCATCAAGGTCTTCCAGTACAAGGGCAACGACAAGATCTACACCGCCGAGGACGACCCCATGGTCGACGAGCTCGAGACGTTTGACATGCCCCAGGACGGAAAATTTCAGTCCTGAATCCGAGGATCATCAAGATCAACCACCACCACCCAAGGGAGTTTTGTCAAGACTCCATGATGAGGATTGGCAGAAAGCTCAGCGCACAGTCTTGCGACTGCATCGCAACCTTGGGCACCCTACACAGAAAGAGCTGGTGAGGCTCCTTATGAACAAGAATGCCTCCAGCGTGTTGATCGAGGCTGCCAAGCAGCATCAGTGCGGACTATGTGATCTACATCGACGCCCCACTGGTGTTCCAATCTCTGGCATGCCCAAGGACGCGCAGTTCAACCATCGAGTTGAGGCTGATACCCTATGGGTTGTGATCCCTGGACAACGTCAACAGCAACCGGTGCTGATGATCTCCGATTGCACCACACGACTTCTTGCAGCACGACATCTACGAGGTGGTGAGAAGACAGAGGAGTTCATCAAACAACTTGAACGTGCGTGGATCAGGAACTTTGGCCCCATGCACATCCTCCAGGTTGATGAACACAGAGCCTGGTCTTCAGACAGCATGCGAGAATGGTGCACCGAGAACGGGATCAACCTGCAGATCAGCCCGGGACAAGCTCATACAAGATTGGCCATCTTGGAGCGAAGACACCAAGTCACCAGAAGGGCCATCACCTTGTTCCTTGAAGGGAATCCGGAAGTGGCCAGATCGCCCGATGCCCTGGTGACGACGTTGAACTACGTCATCCCGCAGATCAACAGAACCCCAAATGCTTGTGGCTACAGTCCGGTGCAATGGACCTTGGGATACACCCCACACATCCCAGGGATGTTGATGGAAGAGCAGACCTTGAACAACCCGGCTGCCTTGGACACATCAGAGGCCTTCATGGAGAAGCTCAAGCTGAAGCAAGAGGCCGTCAAAGCCACAGCTGCTGCCGACACTGACCGACGACTTCGACGAGCTCTACTACGAAAGTTCATGGATCAACAGACCATCTTGAACACGGGCGACTACTGCTACTACTGGAGAGACGCCCCTGCCGGAAGCAATGCCAAGCTTCGCTGGCGAGGCCCCGCTGTGGTCATCATGAGGGAGGCCGGTCCAACTGGGCCCAACTCTGACGTGCTGTGGATTGGTCATGGCACAAACCTCTTGAGAGCCGCCCCCAAGCACGTCAAGTCTGCGAACGTGGCCGTTGACATCACCGAGAAGCCCCGGGACCCCTTGGACGTTGCAAAGAATGCCTTGCACCAGATCAGGAACCGTGGAGTGACGCAGTATGTGGACCTCTCCAAGACGAACAAACGTCGACGAGATGAAGTGGACACAGATGAAGAAGAAGGAGAAGACGACCGTGACCTTGGTCCCTTCCCCGTCCAAAGCCTGCCGGCTGACCGATGGCAAATCAGCGATGATGGCAGAGTTTGGACCAGGATCCACAACACTCCAAGGAGACAACTCTACGTCCCGGAGCCTGAGATGGACATCCCGGTTCACCGCTTCACCAACGAGCGTGTCACTGATGTGCGCCGTGGCAGTCCCAACCCCGAGCACATGCGCTTCAGGGATGAATGGAGGGTTCCCAGTGCCAACAGGGAGCTCCACTACACATGGACTGGAACCACAACCTCCATGGTGGACATCGACAACATGTCCGACGGCTATGAGCCAACGACACCACTACACTCCGAACATGGAGATGAAAACCCTCCTGATGAAGAACCCTCTTCCTCTGCAAGACCAACAACCACAACTGGCTCTGCCCCTTCGGGAGGCCCTGGGCCGACTTCCTCTACACCAAACACGATGAGTCATGAACTACCAGATCAACCACCAGGTGAACAACAAGAAGCACCAGCACTGATGCCGGCGACCTCACCCCACAGTGTGCTGGAGCCTGAGCCCTTTGAGGAGCCAGCTGTGGTGCCTTCAATCACTCAATCACACCTACCAGTACCACCTGAACAACAGAGGCTATACCAAGCTCCAACTGGAGAGAGTTTTGCTGCACAGAGAAACCGCTTCGAGCGGCAGGAGTCCTTGCTCTTCAAGAAGCCTGAAAGCTATGGCCCGGCACGAAGTCACGCCGACCGTGATACACCCTACTCCAATCGACCACTTGGAGATGATGCCAAGGAGACCGTGGAGTTTGTCTGCAATGTGGACATGGTCGACAAAGGCATGACTTTTCCCCCTGGCTGGACCATTGAAGAGGGCTACATCCAACTTGGAGAAGTACGTGATGAATGGATCATTGAGGGCAACTACCTGACGAGAAAGCACTACCTGGCCAGAGACCAAGAGTTCACACCAACCGTGGACAACTGCCCCATTGACCTCAAGTACCTCACCAAGCAGCGCTACACCAAGTTGCAATCTGGAACTGGTCCGAGACAAGTGGACCAGGACGACTCCATGTCTACAACTACGTGATGCTGTTGGACTGGCTACACCCGCTTCAAGATCCACACGACCTGGCGAAAACAGGCCATCCAGGACTTCGACAACAAGAGCAATGGTGCCGAGACCATCTACATGCAGCATGAACCTCTTTCAGAACGAACTATGTCACTGGCAGACCGCCTGGAGTTCCTCAAGTCAAAGGAGAAAGAGCTCACATCTTTCTTCGAGAACGACGTCTGGGTCTTCGACAAGATGACTGACGACAAGAAGCCCAGAACCATCAGAGCGAAGTTCATCCTGAATTGGAAGAAGGATGATTCTGGTGGCAGACGCGCAAAAGCACGTCTGATCTGTCAAGGTTTCCGAGACCCTGATGCTCTCCAATGGATCATTGACAACGGCTTCACCGACACTGACGAGGCTGTCTCGGAACATGGTGATGAGCATCAGCGCCATGCTTGACTACATCCCCTTCACCGCTGACATCACCACGGCCTTTCTACAAGGCAAGAAGTATGACCCCAACTCTTCACGGGTTATCTGGATCAAACTACCCAGAGATGCTGAGCAGATTCTTGGACTTCAAGGAGATCATGGTCAGGTGATGAAACTCACCAAGCCGATGTATGGATTGGTGGATGCTCCGAAAGCCTGGTTCGATGAGGCTGTGACCAGGATCATCGACTTGGGCAAGGGCACCATTGTGCAGCATCCTTTGGACAGCTGCCTATTTCTGAAGTTTGACCGCCCGATCCAACTTGGAGTTGAAGATCAAGAAGAACCTCAACTGCTGGCAATCTTCGGCATTCACGTCGACGACCTCTTCGGCGCCTATGACCAGAAGAATGCCCGACCTGCAAAAGATCTTCAAGTTCCGAGAGTGGCATGAAGGATCAACCAAGGATGAGTTGACCTACTGCGGCATTCAGATCTGCAAAGCCCCTGAAGGACATTGGAGGATCCATCAAGGAGACTACTTCAAGAAGCAGAAGCCCATCACGATCCCCAAGTCCAAGGAGAACCAGGACATACCTGTGACTGAGAAAGAAAGAACTGCCTTGAGAGGGTTGTTGGGCGCTTTGCAGTGGCCTGCGACGCAGACCTCCCCTCACCTACAAGCCACAGTAAGCCTGATGGCAGGCTGTGTGACTACCGCGACCACCAAGACGTTGGAGAGCGCCAACAAGGCCTTGCGATACGCAAAGGCCAACGCCGATGTCGGGTTAGATTTTCGATATCTTGGACCTCGACGAGACATGACGTTCGTGGCCTTTTCCGACGCCAGTTTTGGCTGCCGTGCCGACTTGGCTAGTCAGGGTGGTTTCCTGTTGCTGATGGTGAACAAGAACGTCGCCGAGGGCACGGAAGGTTATTACCACATCCTGGATTGGCGGTCATGGAAATTGGCTCGGATCGCAAGGTCCACTTTGGCTGCGGAGTCCCAGGCAGCATCGGAAGCAGCCGATGCGTTGCTGTTCACCTGTACTTTCTGGAACCTGGTCTGGAAGCCTTGGTCAGCTTTAGACCGATTGGAGACAGCCAAGGTCAACAACAACCCAAAGCTTGTGGTGGACGCCAAGGCCCTGTACGACATGCTGATCCGCCCCGATGTCCAGGCTACATCTGGATCAGACAAACGTACAACAATAGAAGTCTTGGTAACACAAGACAAGTTGAGCTGCCGTGGTGCGGACACTTTGTGGGTGTCATCTGAGCGCCAATACAGCGATGGTCTGACGAAGCAAAGCGCAGCCCAATTGCTTGCAGACCGTATGAGGACCCATTTGGTCAAGCTCAAGAGTGACGAGAACTTTCAAGCGGCAAAACGAAAGGATGCAAAAGAGAGGAAGAAGAGCGCAGAGATGTATGCAGCAAAGAGGCCCAGCCGGGCGATGGTAGCAATGTTTGCGACATGCATGGCAAAGGCATGCGCAGCCGAAGAGACCGACATCAAGTACAACCTCACCCACTTCAACTACATCGACCTCTACCTCAACATTGTCCACTTTGTCATCCTGACGATCATGGCCATTGTCTTCGGCACTCGGTGGATGACTGGTCGCTGGACCCCATGGACACCAACAACGAGAGCTCCTGCAGAGCCTGACGCTGAAGTCGAACCCCTCCAAGAGGAAAGTAGGCCAGCTGAAGGTGCTGCCGAAACGCCAAGGTTCAGAGAGATTGGAGTAGAGACAGAGCTGAGAATGGGTGACATCATAGAGGTGAGAGAGCACCTTGCAAGGTTGGAGGACATCGACCACGACTACATCACCCGTGATGCTCACGATCGAACTGTGGAAGCTCTGGAACGTGATCACCTTTTGGTGGCTCAACATCGATGCCGACACCCGATCTACTTCACAGACTCTGGACGATGCTGGCACGCGAACTACTTTTGCTTGAAACGACAAGCAAGCACAAGGATCCATCAGCGAGATTACTGCACTCTCTGCTCCCATGAGCTTGGTGACTGCCTGGTACCTCAAGACTGGGAGCGAACCTTGTGAAGAAGCGCTGGTGGATGCAATTCGAAGGGCACCTGTCCCCATTTTCTTTATTTACTGTTTCAAAACGTTCACGATTCTCCACCGGTGTGAATTGTGAGCCTCACAATGTGATTTGCACATATCCATGTGCTTCTTTTTCCTTCGACCTTTTGGGATCAATCCCCTTTACAGGGTAACCTAGGGATTTCCCATGGGACAACTGCCTTGTGGCTTCGCGACCGCGACCCCGGCATTGCAAAAGGGCCGCCTACCTTTCACTGTGTTGCACTTCGTGTGGCAATCGCTGTTCGGTTCCCCAGCTACCGAAACAGCACATGGTAAATCCATGGTAAATCCTGAATTTATCCTGAGTTTATCCTGAGTTTCATGGATGTTCACAAGCCGCTGCGCCTTTTCCAAGTCTCCAGGGGAATCTTCTTTTTTGACCGGTGCCTGGTGACAGATCCATGGCCACAAAGAACTGGATGTGACAATTGATCCTGGCCTCGCTGGCATTGATCACCAAGAACTGGAGCTGATGCGTTCCTTAGCTGACCAATGAAACAAGCATACCACAGCAATACGCAAAAAAAAAAACGATTCCCTGAGCCAACAGTTAAGTCTTTTGAAAAAGATTCTGTACAAGTATGGAAACGCATTCAAATCACACTTATCACACTTGCCTGTGATTGTTGTCGGTTGAAAGGGATATGAGATATGAGTGGGTCTTAATGATCATTGTACGGAACTTATATATTATATAGTCATGTTTCTGGATGTATACATCAATTCAACTGCTTGATCTGCTTGTGGATTTGTGTTTGTGTAAATGTGTGTGTGTGTACACATAGGTAATGCAGAGACTTGTTGTCTTGCTGGCTAAACAAAACGACACTACGTTGTTGGAGCGGTCACAAACACGAAAAGGTGCTGAAGCATTTTTCGGCAACTTGTGCTTTGGGGTCAGGATAGTGTAAAGTTGATTGAAGTTCTGTGAACTTGTCCGTGAAGTGCAAAAGGGCGGTATCATCCTTGACACATGTCATGCCAAGTTTCGACTGTTCTCTGCCCTGGCAATTCGCATGATGCGACCTGGAGACATCTACAACACTCAAAGATCTCACCAAATTTGTGATCAACCCAGTAACATCAGTACTGCTCACTCCAAATCCACAGCAAACAATACTGATGGGATCTGATTGGCAGATTGATACCCTCTGGTCAACTAACAGTTTGCGACATAGAAAATTGCCATTTATAGATATTTATAGTGAGTTTTCCCATTAAAAATTGTGATTTTCATTGATTTTCCATAGTTATGGGACAGTTTACCAGAGGCTACTGTAACAAATGCTGAGGCAACGAATCAAGAGTGACCAAAATCACCTCACCGGCCGTAGTGGTCGTGACAATCCATCGACCCCGCGGGCATCGGCCTTTGTCATCTTCGAAAATGCCAGAGACGGTCCTCAGAAATGGTGAGAAATCTTGACCAACTGGGCGTTAATGCAACAGATCACAACAAAAAATCTTGGAAGTAAATGGCTATGATTCGGGTACGATTCGGGTACAATTCAACATGATATGATCTTCCACAAAGCCGGAGCTGTGGATTCAGATTTGGGCAGCCGAGCCCTTTTTGTAGCCATGCTGTTGCCCAAGCACCAGGTACTCGCGACCTCAAAGCGACATGAAATCGGCACCACAACCGCGGCCACAAAAGGCCCTGGCTGCCTCTGGGGCTGCAGCCTAAATCCCCGTGGCAAAGTCATCAACGGTTCTACGCCTTGCACAGTATGTGCCAGGGCCAAAGCGTCTTTGCCTTGGCCAACTCTGGGCCCAACTTTGGATCCCAAAATCTCCGGCATGACATGGAATTAAGCGGGGACGGACTAGCTCTGGACACCCCTTTGAATTCAAGACTTGTACGAATTCAACCATCTCAGAAAAAGTACATATATATGTATACATATGTACAGAAGTATGCATGCTTAATATTCAACCAAATTTCAACCCAAAACAGTCCCGAAATTTCTTGGTGTAGCATCGGCATCTGAGGCCCAGGACTATAAATGTTGAAGGATGAGAGGTTGTATCTATGGAGGCGACCTCTATGCTCAAACCGGACCTCATCACTCAATTTTGATGCACAAAGGGTCGAAGATTCAGCGACAAAATCTGGACATAGCATGACATAGCATGACATAGCATCATCTAGTTGCAGAATCTAGCTGGACGATTTGAGGCAGCTGCGAACGCCGATCCATCCCCAGACACCTCTGAGTGAAGGGTTGGAAGTTCCACCTTACAAGAGCTGCAGAGAATCAGAACGATGAGGACGGCATGACATGAAAAGGGCGAGGAAAGAGAGGAGCAAAAAGAGGGAAGGAAAGGGCAGAAGGCAGAAGGGAAATGGACCGAATCGTATTCACAAGAACGACTGAATGTGACTGCTGACTCTCGAAAATGACAAAACGAAAACCGAACTTCAATTTTACTTCAAGATGTTAAGCATAGACACGGGCTCCGAGAGCACTTGAAGAGAAGAACTGTGCAGAGACACCTCAACGTCAGCAAATTAGTTTCATTGTGTCAGGCAGTTTATGAAGACAAGAGAATCAAGTGAAAAAGAGTTCAGATACGTTCAGTCGCATTCATGAAAGACCCATCACTCAGCAGGTTTTCTACTTGCTCAGCATGGCCTCTTGTGTGTTCTCCAAGCGGTGCACGCCATTTCTTCCTAAACGCCTAAGCCAACAAATGCACCCAGGTCCTACTGTAGCTAGTCTCTCTAAGCCTCAACTATACTGCATGGATAACAGGAACAACGCTCCTCCCAGTGCCCTGATAAATTGATAAATCCTATCTCTCTTGCCATATCTTGTCATTTGAAAGGACCGAAAGTTCTTCAAAGGACCGCAAGTTGCTGCCGTGTCTCTGGTGCTGCTGCAATAGCCGGACGCCGCGATGGCCTTTCTGAGGGCAGCTGCCTCACCAATAGGGGCCCGGCCCGTCCGGCCCGTGGCAAGTTGTAGCTTGACTCCTGCCTCTGCAGTCTGCCAGCGCGATGCCTAGAAAGGGCAGGCCTTGATCCAAAGAGTCCCTGTCAACAACTTAAGCTTCGCAGTGTTGTCAACAGCCAACTACAGATCTGTCGTTTTTGACTTCGGAATGCGTTCTTCTCAAGTGACTATGTCTATCTTGCAGTTCACCAAAACTGAATGAGCTTCACGCAGTAGACCCAGATCATGCAGGAGCAAGACAGTTTCCCTTGCTCCCAGGAAATCGTGGCAAAACGTGGGAGAAACTCGAACCAAAATGGCACGACATGTCACCGCATTGATGTCACTGCTCAAGCTGGTGGAGCATCAAACCAGGCACAAAGTGTGAGAGCTGTGAGAGCTGTGAGAGCTGTGAGAGCTGTGAGAGCTGTGAGAGCTGTGAGAGCTGTGAGAGCTGTGAGAGCTGTGAGAGCTGTGAGAGCTGTGAGAGCTGTGAGAGCTGTGCTGAATGAGACAATGCTCTTTAGTACAATGCATGTTTAGTGCATGTTTAGTGCATGTTTAGTCTTTGAAGACCTGGTCTGCCTCTTTCAACTTCGTCCTGGTCTGATTGCACTGACTGCACTGATTGCGCTTGCACAGGGCTTTGCTCTAGGGGCTGAGTGCCTGAGCCGAGTTTCGACTCGGCTGACTCAGCTGACCAAGATGTTTCATGTGCCACCTCTGACTCCTCTGGGATGAAGAACATAGAGGTTTGCCGCTACAGCCTCAAACTGAGTCAAGCTGAGTCAGAAAAAATCACAATCGTTCTCAGTTCTCATGGCCACAGCTCTCGCTTGGAATTGGCAGGTCGGCTCTCAGCCAACCTGTCGATCAGTGTTGATTTGGAATCATTTTGACATCTTGCCTAACCCACTGCAGTTTTGCCGACTAATACTGTGACTTCTGCAAAGTTTCGCTCCCCCACTGGACCTCCAAAATAGCTTGCTTTGCTCCCCTTGCTGACATTCATTGATACTATATTGATACTATATAGATCATTATAGATCTTTGCAGTCACTGCCATCCCCTCCACGACTTCTCGGGCCCCAGGGGCCCCAGCGACCAGGCCTAAAGCAAGCACCTCATATGGATCCACAGTTACCATCGAAGCTTGAGATCATGACATGCAAAACTGAGGCATCAACGACAATGGTGACAGTTGGCACATAGCCGCAGCCTGGAATGAAAGCTGTTTATTTAATACTACGAAAAGTGGCGAGTTTTCCGATTCATTCCCATAATCTCCAGTCGAAGCGGCCCAAGCCTCATCAAAAAATAATCATACAACTGCAGAGGAGTTGTGAGTCAGTTAAAATTACCCTCTGGTTATTTAACATAGCAATGGAAAATGGCCCATAGAAATCCGCCCACACCGCTTTGGCGGTGAAGGCGTGCTTATTGGGGGGCAACAGCAACACTAAATGCTCAATGACATTTGTTAATATAGCAGTCGCTATATCAGCTTTAGCTGGGGGGGGGCCAAAAACGGTTTCGCACCGAGACCAGACCCCAAAAACGGTTTCGCACCGAGACCAGAATACGGTGGTGTTTTCGACATTTTTCGAGGATTTTTGGGTGTCTGAGCGCAAGAGGGTATTGAAATGGAATTTTGGGTCATTTTGGTAGCTTTCCGGCAATGGAAAAACGGCCAAAAATGAAAAAAACATTGTACATAGCAAGATTTTGCAGGGTTTTTGGATGCCAGAGCATTGAAAACACTGCAAAAACAAGTGTTTTGGACTGACGTTATAGCAAAAAACGTGTAAATTACCGTATGCTTGACTGGAAACATTACAAAAACACTGTCAAAAGCAATGTTTTGGAAGGATTTACTGCCTTTATGGCAAAAAACGTGTAAATTACCGTCTGTTTGACTGGAAACATTGGAAAAACACTGTCAAAAACAATGTTTTGGAAGGATTTCTTATTGAAACTTCTTAGCTTGAAGAGCCCCCACGGGGGAAAACCACCCTTAGCCCCTCTCACGGACCGAAATAAACCTGCGGTGTGGGCGGCCACCCCACGCGAAGCGGGGTGAATAGATGATTTTCCCAGCTAGAAACCTCCATTTATGGTTGGGATTTTCCATGGCTATGTTAGTCATAACCAGATGGTAAGTGTGTTTGAATCATCTGCTTCGAGGTGACAGCAGGCCAAACTGCAGGCCAAACTTGACAGTGGACCGCAGCATAGGCGTCTCTTGCGGGCCATCGAAGCGCCACATGAGCTTGAATCAAGCAGTAGTTGAAGCATGTTGTTGCGCCATGGGATTTTCGAGATTTTACAAAGCACTAGCCTAACTCCAGAATGGTTGTGCTGGGTATGCTGGGGGGTCGGGAATGACAACAGACTCTCAACCGGAGCAAGTATGCTGGGTCATGCTATGTCTTCATTCATGGAGACAGTGATATCAGTGATGGCATCGCGGGTGTGCCAGTCACCCCACTTTCCGAAGAGTTTCCCATGGCTTGTCAGCTAAGTTCACAGAGCCTAGGCCTAAGGCTTGCTTCTCAGGACCGCAATGTGTCAGCTTTCTAACAGGACTTTACCCTCTGGTAAACTAACATAGCTATTGAAAATGGCCATTTATAGTAGTGGATTTTCCCATTAAAAATGGTGATTTTCCATAGCTATGTTAAATTACCAGAGGGTACAAATCGCAATGTTGGATGATTCAGATTGTGACTTTGAGCAGCATCTGGATGGCGGATGTGAATGGCATTCACCAAAAATGCAAAATTCAGGCAGGTTGAAGCGTTTAGGTCATGAGAAATTCTAGGTTGCTTCAAACGAATTGCATGATGAAGCATCTTTGCTCGCAGTTTTCAACCGTCTGCACGGGAGGATATCTGACGATGATAACCAAACCAATGGCATCCTGATTTTCAGGTTGCTAGGTGAGGCTCAGCTTATGGTTTTCAGCATGCGTTCAACAACACATTCATTCCGCAATCGCATGCTGCGAAGGCATATTCTGTCACAGGATGTAATGTGCAAACTATTAATTATATCTAATTCTGATGGTACATACTATGGTTACTTTTGGGGGGACATGCCTGTTTCAACTGAGGCATCAACACACGATTGCTCTTCTAAAAAGATTTCTTAAGCTCTCAGGCGATGCCTTGTCCGAGCCTTCAAGCGCGTCAAGTTTCCATTACAAGCACTATTGAATAGGAAAATGACAAAATATGGACAGGAATTACAGGAATGAAGAATATGAAGAAAATATGAAGAAATATGAAGAATATGTATAGAAATCAACCGTAAGGAAACGTTTTCCAAAACGTAATGATGTACAACACATCACCAAGGCCACAGAAATCACTCTACCAGAGCTTCCAGCGGCCCCATAAGCCAAGCTGTCTGCCTCGCAGAGGTCCCATACGTACCATCCATGCCATGCTGTGCCATGCTGTGCCATGCTGTGCCGGTTCCATGCCTTGGGCACAGGCTGCAGGAGAAGCTGCTCGTGATCTCCCACGAAACGTTCGTGGCTTTCCTGGACCATGGTCGGACACCATGGTCTTACCATGGCATGTTGCCATCCTTGTGGCTTCTACTAGTTCTACTCAGCGTTCTCAGCGATGTTCTTGCCTGTTTCCGCTTCATGTTTTTTCATGGCGTGTTTTTCTGACAAGGAACGAAGTAGCCGTCAAGTTCTTCGCGGATTTCTCCAATCTCGGCAGTTGCTCAAGCGAAGCTTTGGCATGCAGTGAATGTAAAACGCTTTGCAGAAAGAGATATAGAGCCAAGAGATTGCAGAGCTATCTGGCTGTTGTTCTTCCAAGATCGGAAGAAACCAGAAACCAGCAACAGCTTTCAAAGAATATTGTTGAGCTACACAATTGCTCCGAATTCGACTATGTTTGCCTTAAGCTGCTGATAATTAAGTGCTAATATCTGATTCTGCCCAGAGCCAGGTCCCATTTTATGGCACAAGATTCAGGGTCTCTGCATGTCTCTGCACGTCTCTCCGCACCTTGCTCCCATTTTCATGCTCCGGCACCCGGCTCAAAGTGGATGTAATCCTTGCGGCTCGGTGGCACTCGGAATCTGGGAATCTGTGGATGGTGGCAATTTTGAAAAGGCTCTGGCCCGATATACACTCGAATCTGTGAGATATAGCCTAGGTAAGTCATGTTAAATCATGTTATTTCAGTCTAGTTTTTAGTCATTCTTCTTTTTTCTCTTCTGTGGCATCGATCAACAGACAATTCTGTAGTTGATTCATGTTGATTCAAAATGTTGATTCACCAGAATTCTACATCAATTCTTGATTCATGTTGATTCATGTTGATTCATGTTGATTCATGTTGATTCACCAGTGATTCACCAGAAATGCCACCAGAATTCTACATCAATTGTTGATCTGGCCATCTCTGGCCGCTCTGATCACAAAATGCCATCGGTGTCCTTTGAAAAGTGCGCCGAGCAAACGGAGCCGCTGGAGCCGGAGGAGCTCCCCTGGCTGTTGATCAAAACGATAGTTCTGATAGCTCCACGATAATTCTCAAAAACAAAAAAGCAAGCATTACAGTTTAATGATATGTTTTTGGATGTATTTATAGAATTTTATATAGATGTATTAATGTGATAATATACGTTATCGCCGTAATTGTTTATGTTACTGCGGAAAAAGTGGTGTGGCAATTGTGGCAATACTCTAGATGTTGATGGGAGTGGTGACAATTATGGCATGATGAAGGGTGATGGCAATGATGGCAATGATGGCAATGATGGCAATGATGGCAATGATGGCAATGATGGCAATGATGGCAATGATATTGACTGTACAAGCGAATTTCTACAAGGGCTGCTGACAACGACGAGGACGATCCACTGCTGACAACAGCTGTTGGACTAGAAGGAGTAAGGAAAGGAAGGGGAAGACGAAGGGACTCGAAGTTGGAAGGAGAAAAGAACTCATGCATGTTTCTTGAAATAGGCAAGAATAGACTTAAAGTCACGCCATTGCTACTTGAAACTCAGGTAGCTGATTCTCCCTCTTGTAATTTTGCGCATGTTGGGTTGCTTTTTTGGGTTCCATGCTTTTTCAGTAATAGTTGTGCTGCTGAAAAACGTTCATCATTCCCTCCCCCGGATTGGTATGATTGGTTGCCTCCTCAATTCTGGCGCTGAAGATGAGGACGTCATGGTTTTGGCTGCTACGACTTTTGCAGCCTTTGCCACACTGCACTGCACACTCGGAGCTGATACTCCACCTGTCCACGGCCAAACAAACGTGCCTAGGAAAACACCAAGTCTTCAAGTCTGTTAAGTCTGGGGCAAAAAGATTGAAGATGATGGACTTTGAAGATCTTTGAAGCATTTGAAGCCTTCAAAATTCAATAATCATGCGCTGCCAGCATGCTTCCTGCAGCTTCCCGCAGCTTCCCAGCCCTCTTTTCTCACTGAGCAGCAGCTGCAGCTGCAGCTAGTACTGTTAGTACCTGCGCATTTCCAGCTTGGACTTCGAACGAGGAAGACAGTGAAGGGCGAATCCCACCAGCACGCACAGAACAAAGTACACAATGGAGGCACCTCGGATCGTGAAAGAACTCTGAATTTTCTGTGAAATTTCTGCGAAATTCTGTGAATTTCTGTGAAAGTAACAGCCCTAAAAACTCCATAAAAACTGTGAAGTTTCTGTGAAGAAACGACCCACTTTCCGCATCGGCCGATCAGGACGCCACCCTGGACTCCACCAAGTCACAAACCACAAAGATCACGCCACTTGTCCAGTAATGTTTTTGCACCTGAACGAGTGACGAGTGGTGTTTGCTGATGATGAAAATGATGATGATAATGATGATAATGATGATAATGATGATAATGATATTTCTGATTTTTCATGATCACCTCCATTAATTCAGTGATATTCGGTGAACCAGTGAATTTGCTGATGATGATAATGCAGCAGCTTGTTTTCTCACCACCATCTATGAAACATCATTTCTATGCAATTGCATGCAACCATACGTATTTTGTTTGTATTGTATCCATGTGTCTTACAAGTGTGTCTTCTTGGCTGACCGTTGTATCGTATAAGATACGCCGTGTTTGGGCCTGGCCGGGAGATGCCGAAAGAAACACGAACAGGGCATCTGGCGAAGCACGAAGACCATGTTGAGCCTCAGCAGCCTGGAGTCTGAGCTGATGTCGGCTGATGTCAGGTCACTTTTTTTCCATTCACCATTACCCTCTGGTGAACTAACATAGCAATTGAAAATGGCCATTTATAGTGGATTTTCCCATTAAAAATGAGGATTTTCAATAGCTATGTTAAATTACCAGAGGGTATCACATATGGCAGTGTGTCAAAACCATTGGAAACCCCTTTTTAGTTCACATCAAAATTTAGCTGGGATTTATGGATGTGAATAACCCAATAAAAATGGTATTTTCATAGGTATTGATCCATACCCATATTATCACCATTCATCAAACCAGTCACCGAGTGAAGTATCCCTGTCTTCACCAGTGAACACACACGAGTTCCTCACAGTTCATCTGTAGCTATGGGCACTCAAAGTTCATCTGATTTCATCTGTATATGTTTGGACTATCCAGTTTTAGTGCCCAATTTGCAACGGACCTTTGCTGCTGTTCGTAGCTGACCCACCAATGCACCGGAGAACAGCGCGTCCTTTCCATCAGTGTCAACATGTGTCACAACGACGACTCTGATGACTCAGGGGGTTGCAAAAACTCTGACTACAAATCTCAACAAAAAATCTCATTCTATAGTGATTTTATTCTATAGTGATTCTATAGTGATTCTATAGAAATCTCCTAAATCTTTGAACATCTTTGAATTTTTTTGAAGATTTCTTGAAAATCGCCTCTTCATTTCTGGGTCCTCCAAAAACACGAGGCCACCTTTGGCACCTCGCCGTGAGTCGCCACAGTTAAACAGCTCCTCGCAGCAGCTTCGGCCAGCGGCCCAGAACTGGGTGAGCCCTGGCAGGATCCAAATCAGAAGTGTGGAAAATCTACATGAAAATATGCATGAAATACATGAAATAGATGGAAATTTGGTGAAAATAGATGGAAAATTGGTGAAAATAGATGAAAAATAGGTGAAAATAGATGAAAATTTCGTGAAAATAGATGAAAAATAGGTGAAAATAGATGGAAAATAGGTGAAAATAGATGGAACATAGGTGAAAATAGATGAAAAATGGGTGACAACATATCAGACATATCAGACATATCACAACATGATAAGAATGAAAACAATTTCCCAAAATCAAGAAACAAATACAACTGACTATTGCACATCTTGGAGGTGTCATGTCTGAAGGTCCAGTTGAAACATGTCAAGCGACCTTCATTGGCATTCTTGTTCACCAGCGGAGCTACGCACAGCAGGTCGCTGCCTCCCATGGACAAGTATGACAAGTTGAGGATGGCGTAAGTTTGCCAGCTGAAAAGCTGTGATTTCTGGCAATTTCGTTGCGTAGCTTTGCACCGAGCACAGGGTTTCATTTGCATTGGATGTGCATGCCTTCGCGATGCGAAGATGCACGATCAAAGTCCACAACCACATCCTGGAACAAAGTGACGAAGAGGATGCACCAACCGCAGCGACAAAAATTAGATACTCCGCCTACACAAGTCACTTGGATCTGGTATTCTTGCACTTTGCTTCACAGTGAAGAGTGCTTGAACATATGTGTAGATATATAATATACAATACAATATAAAATAAATAATATAACCTAATAAAATAAAATATAAAAAAATATAAAATAGTATAATATAAAACTATTAAGAGGAATATAAGAGAAGAGAAGGAGGAGAGAAGTAGAGAATAGAGAAGATAGAATGAAGATAAGATAGACAGAGAATATAGAATTAGAATGATATAAATATAATAGATAAATAATAGAGAAAGAAGAATAATTAGGTGAAGATATAAGAGAAGATATAAGTATATAACTATAAGATAAGGAAGAGAGAAGAGGAAGAGAGAAGGAAGAGAGAAGAGAAGAAGAAGAGAAGAGAGAAGAGAGGATAGAAGAGAGAGAGAAGGAAGAGAGAAGAGAAGAGAGAAGAGAATATAGAAGTAGAAGATGAACATAACATAATATAATAGATATTAATAGAGAATAATACATATATAATAGAATATAGGAAGATATATATAAGATAATATATAATAGAATAATAATATGAGAATGATAATAGAGATAGAAGAGATAATATGATATATAATATAATATATAATATAATATATAATATAATATATAATATAATATATAATATAATATATAATATAATATATAATATAATATATAATATAATATATAATATAATATATAATATTATATAATATTATATAATAATAATATTATATAATAATAATATTATATAATAATATATGTTTTTCTTATATACAATATAATATATATATATACATATATATTATCATTATTATTAGTAGTATTATTATTATATGCATAATGATCAGTGTGGCACTCTGTCTGGTGGCCAAGTCTCATCACGAAACGTAAGTTTCCCAGCGTCCAGGAATGAGGTGGCACGGTCTGTTGCCGCAAGACCGTCGTAGGAGCGCTGGCCCTGGACACCACGAAACGACACGAAAGGACAACGACAAAGTTCAGGGAAACTGCCTGAAACTGCCAGTTAAACTTCATTTCCACCATGTCCTCGTAGGCCCAATACAAAGCGCAGTTCTTCTTGCTGTTCCAAAGACCGCAAGTGCATGCAAGGATCGTAGCCACAAAGCAAAGACTGCCTGACGCGTTGACAGTGGACCGGATGGACCGGGCACATTGAAGCAAGTCGTGTCGCGATGAGTCGTGCACAAGCAAAACTTCAGCCTGCGTGGAACCAGAATCGTGGACCATCTCGGGACTGCCTGCTGTGTTTCCAGAGGTACAGCATGGTTTTTGGAACGAATCGGCAACCTGGAAAGAAATGAGTTCTAAATCATCTTAAATTATGCTAAAAATTGATTGGTCTATTCAGTGCCTGTGTTTCGCAAATTTAGTCGCACCTGACCACAATGAAGAGTAGGGACACACCCAAGTACAGCATGGCCACAGCCCATGTCAAGCCAGGGAATAGCTCGAAGGTGAAACTACTGATTGCCTCGGTACAACTGCCAGAATAGACGAGAAGAGTTCTGAAGACTTCTGAAGAGTTCTGCAGTCTAGAACTTTCAAACCTTCCACGTTTCTCAGAGATTTTGAGGGGCTGAGAATGTTCCTGCCTGTCTCAAGACACAAAGGTCACAAGAGTGTCAGCCATGGTACGAGCAAAGACGAGAACAGGATGAAGGGCAACAAGACCAAAAGACCGAGACTCCTGCAGGGCAGACATTCCGCAGCGATTTGACAAACAAGTTGGGTCCCTGAAAATCCCCGCTTCACAGTGCTTGTCATTGCAGAGTTTCCCACCTGATAAAACTCCAAAACAAAGTCGTGCTCAAAACGTAGCTCGAATGGCTCGAATCAACCAAATCAACCCTCCAACCTTCAATCTCTCCTTGCATGATAGCTCAATGGTCGAGTTGGTAATAAGTCTCGGTACATCACATGGCGACGCCGTTAGATTCAACCAAGTCTAACACACCCTGACACCAAATGGCCGTTAGACCGCAGAAATGGTTTCAGAACAATCGATGCTGCGAATGTCGATGTTTGCAACGCTTCAGAATTTTCCGACTTGTTGAATGTGTTCTCTTCCCCCTCTATCTCTCTGAGATGCAGCAATCTTTTCGTCTCCAGCTGTCATGTAAAGCGTCGCTGGTTCGAATGAGCAGTGACAGCTAGCGAGAAGCGCATCCATTGACCATGTGTCTTTTTCTTACAAGTTGTGCATCAGGTAGTGCAAGTTGTCTTCCAACGCACACGAACCAAGAACCAAGAACAAGACTCTGGAGCTCCACAAAAACAGAGAAATTCTCTGTTCACCTTGTGAGCCAAACCCTACTTTAGAGCCACATCCACCATTCCCAAGTAAGTCGACCGAAACATCCTAAAGGTGCAAAATGACACGCATGGGCACAGCGAATCGCCTCCATCCTCACATTGCTCATCTGCCTCAGCCACCAAAATCCATGGAGTGTGACCTCTGCCACCCAGTTTCGCTGTGAAAATCAATAGTGCAACGGCTCATAGACGTAGAATGACGTAAAGTGTTGCGTCTGTTACGACATGGTACTAATTGCACCACCTCTGATAGATGTGAAATTCATCCAAATTCCATGAAATTCCATGAAATTGCTAGATGGGTATGGGTCAATACCTATAAAAAATTACCATTTTTAGTGGGTTATTCACATCCATAAATCCCAGCTATTTTGATGTGAACAAAAAAGGGGTACTATTGGTTTTGACCCATCCCCAGATCGCCTTGGCACAGCCTACCCATCCCAGTTTCTCCCCGCCTCTTGGCGGGCAACTCTGATCCCGTGCCTCGGCACGCTCGGCACGCTCGGCACGTGGCACGTGGCAGATCTGATCTGAGCAAAGGCTAGACATGTCATGCTTACCCTCTGGTAAACTAACATAGCGAACTGGAAAATCACCATGCTATTAATGGGAAAATCCACTATTTCTATGGCCATTTTCAATAGCTACGTTAAATTACCAGAGGCTATTCATGCTTCTTCATCATGGAAATGTAGAAGAAAAGTGTGAAAACAACAAAGATGTCGTCAGACTGTCGTCAGGGTGTCGAGAACGCCAAGAAATTCAAGTTCCACTAGGTGTCGGGCTTCAGTTCTTTCAGGCCATTCTGAATGGGTGCGAAATCCTGCGACACAACGACTCGGTTCATCACTGGGAAATGGATTTTGACCGCTGCACCTTGAAGGGACACACAAAAAAATTCCGTTCCGATGCACTCCTTTTTTCGGCTCTGTCAAAGGGAATTCTCTGTTTTTGCGAGACAGAAAGATTTGGAAGGAATTGAAATTCTTTGAAGACATTTGGAAGGTTCTGGTAATTTGGAACAGAACTATTTGAGTCTCAGTCTGAAGAAGTAGCGTAACTATCCATAACGATCCATAACTATCCATAACTATCCATAACTATCCATAACTATCCATAACTATCCATAACGGCCCAGGACTACCTCATAATAAATCACTACGTACAATCCAAAAATGCTTGACTCTCTTGCAGCGCGCTCGGCCTGACCGGTTTTTTCTCTTCCGAGCGCCAAATCTCAAGTTCTGCCAGATGTGAAGAAGCTGAAGCCGATCTTCGAAGACAAGTGGTATGCATTGGATAAAAACTCAACACTGACGGGCTAAGCAATATGGAGCATGGCATGGAACAAAGCCAGGCAAAGCATGATGGGCTGCTTAGCTTGGAAGTGCTTGGATCACAGGCAAGGCTGGGCAATATGGAATGCATACTGTCTTACAGACAGAACCAGCAAATCTGAATGCTCAGCCTGGCTCCAAATCAAAAGGTATACTTACGAACCCGTACGTGCTGGCTTATGAAAATCATGTACACCTCAGTCAAAGATCGCAAATCAGACGGGTAGCGCAGACCCTGCGCAAGCCCCGGGTGGGCAATACAAAGTATGGGCTGGGAGAATCAATGAAGACACTGGTGAGGCCCTTGATCAACGCACGCAAGACAATTTGTATTGATGAACTTCAAGCCAATCCCTCCAGGCCAAAAAATGAAGTTTTCAACAATCCAAAAATGCTTGACTCTCTTGCAGCGCGCTCGGCCTGACCGGTTTTTTCTCTTCCGAGCGCCAAATCTCAAGTTCTGCCAGATGTGAAGAAGCTGAAGCCGATCTTCGAAGACAAGTGGTATGCATTGGATAAAAACTCAACACTGACGGGCTAAGCAATATGGAGCATGGCATGGAACAAAGCCAGGCAAAGCATGATGGGCTGCTTAGCTTGGAAGTGCTTGGATCACAGGCAAGGCTGGGCAATATGGAATGCATACTGTCTTACAGACAGAACCAGCAAATCTGAATGCTCAGCCTGGCTCCAAATCAAAAGGTATACTTACGAACCCAATGCTAAGACTCCCAATGCTATACCATCTTGAGCGCAGCGGCCAGAGATCGCGAAGCGATAAAAAAGACTTCGGGGATAACGGCTTCTGACAGCAGCCATCCCTGCTGGCAAGTCCATCCATCCTGCAATCCTTCTCGGGAAAGGCCATCTGAAACATTGGCTTCAGACTCTACAAACTCAAAATACACTCTGCAACCTAGTCGTGCAAACATCAAGTGAGCAAGTGAAGCAATGGCACAAATATCGCCGGCGGAACTAGAACCCTTTGTTAAGCTCTGGCAAGCGGCCTGGTTATCAATGTACCAAACAATATCCTGATTACACATGAGATGGGGAACGTTAGCCGGCACAATGACACTGAGCAAGGCCTCACATGGCGTTATTTGCTGCTTGCGGTCAACTAGACACGCAATAACTTCAGGTCCCAACACTGCAGTCATGCCAATCGGCTGCAAACCTGCGAGGTTTGGGAAAACTACAAATCCTACACGGGCTGGCTGATGAAAGTCAATTCTTCTACTGTAAGATACCGCAAATCAACATCGCATGTGAATCCTTTGGCTTTCAAGCCAACAATTACGCCAGGATGCACGGCTGCACAAAAAGCAGCACTAAAGGACACTTCTGTGGGACCATGGCTAATAGGAACCGCTCCCACACAACCCCGGTCAGAATGGCCAGACCGGGGGCCATGAAAGTGCCTACGCATCCTGAAGCTGGAGGGCACTCACCAGAGAATCAATGAAGACACTGGTGAGGCCCTTGATCAACGCACGCAAGACAATTTGTATTGATGAACTTCAAGCCAATCCCTCCAGGCCAAAAAATGAAGTTTTCAATAACTACCATGTCCAAGGTCCAAGGCCTTCTGCACTGCAAAAGCAGCTTGCCGCTGAAGCTCTCGTTCAGGGCGCCACTGACGGCACTTTGGCCTTGAGCACCTCATTTTTGTCGACGTCAACTTGCTGACAGGTTCGACACAGCTTCAACACAGCTTCGACAGGGCAGTGCGGTTTCACGTTTCAGACCTGGTGTGCCACATGTGAACATGGCAAGGCTATGGCATGGCCATGGCTTTGGATATCTTTGGATGCTATGGCTAGGACTGTAACAGTGCAATCAGCTCAGAGATCGTCACAACCTGGAGATTTTCAAGGTGCCAATCTCGCAACGAGATGCATGTACCGTATAGACATGTATATATATATATCCTCTGGTTATTTAACATAGCCATGGAAAATCACTATTTTTAATAGGTAAACCATCTATAAATGGGCCATTTTCCATGGCTATGTTAAATAACCAGAGGGTACATAATATTGGCCGAAGCATATCACAGCGTATATACTTCCGTATTAACTGAGGCTTGGAAAGTTTAATGTTCCGTTCTTGACTTCTCTGGGGACTTTGCAAGGAAAAGAATAGGAAAAGAAGCCCCAACCCCCAAGGTTGTTATACATTCGGGAAAGAACACCCTATGCCTCTGAGACCAAAACCGGAAACAACCTCCCACCACTGTACTGAGTGAATTTGATGCATGTTTAACACTAAGAAATACATATGTCCCACATCATCCCACATCTTATATTCATTGATGTTGAGATTCACTGCATGTCTTTTCCTAATTGAAGTACCCTCTGGTAATTTAACATAGCTATGGAAAATCACCATCTTTAATGGGTAAATCCACTATAAATGGCCATTTTCAATAGCTATTTTGACATAACCAGAGGGTATGCAAAAATGTGGCAGGAATGCGGCATCATCCAGATCTCTTCGGCATGGAATACGTTCCGAGATGTGCCGAGCTACGCCAGAAGACCTGGCGACATCTGGCGCAGTCGCTGAATTTCTGGTCATTTGAGTCATCAAAAAAGTCACCATGAACTGAGCTTGAAGATTGAGAGCCTGATGTCAAGCAACTCAAAGATTGCAGAGGTGTCCTCAGTAGATAGCTCCACTCCTACCTCAAAACAGGAGGCTCCAAATCACATCAACGACCAATCACATCAACAAGGACAAGCAGTAGAGTCCAAGCATCAGGCTCCCCCAATCAAGACTTCTTATTATAACACATATCTGTTATAGGATTTATAGGAGAATATCGTGGCAGGAAGAATATGTTATTCTGGATATTCTCACTAGATATCCTTTACCTCCTGAGTTAGAGGCACGCTTCAGGCTCGCAACCTCACCATGGAGCAATTGATGAAACATGATGAAACTAGGTCCAAATTGGTCCAAATCCAAGTCCATCCAAGTCCGAGCGGCGAATCCCTCGCGGTCTAGAGGCGCACGGTGGCTTGGCACCTTGCAGAAATGGAACGAACAAAAAGGCGGTTCCCATAGCGGATTTCCATGAATTCACGCCGCGGACAGCACTGACAAACACTTGGTGCAGTTTCAGCTAGACAGACACCTCCTTAAAAGTCAGCATTCCTTGCTGTAGCAGCTGCATCCTCAAAGCCTAGCAACATAGAAGCTGAGGTCGCAAGTTGTCATAGAAATGCCACAAAAGTATGGGCCACCAGAGTTCTCTATGTTCTCTAGGGCACGTTGCAAATGGATCCACGGTTCAGTTCAATCAGTGGCGCATCATCGACTACCAGACCATAGGGTACCGGACCTCCAGCACACAGCAGGGGGCAAAAAGACGCAGGCCCTGCAAGTTGCCGAGCACTGCGTGAAGGGCACCCAGGAAGTGACTAAAAAATCTCACCAAACAGCAGCTGAACAGCAGCACAGCCGTTGATGCTCTGCTCTTGGTCCTTCAAAAATCCACCAATTGAGATGCCATGGACAGAGTCGCCTCAGGCAAAAAAGCAGCGCAATTTGTATGGTAAAATGCAGCAGTTATGCAGCTGCAGCCAAAGATCCACTGAGGAAATTCACCACCGGTGCCATCTCCCACATTTCAACCTCACACACGTCATACAGAAGCTCCTGTGGACTAACAATTTGATTACTGACGCTTGGGAATGGCAGCCAACTGACGCCGTGACCCCATCCACAGATTCTAACAAGATTTGGAGCTCCTGCAGGGAACAATTTAAAGTTTGAATTTGATGAAACTAGGGTAGAAATTTATCCAAGATTTTTTTTGCTCACCTTCATACATCCCAAATTTGCACCCCAAGTCACGTCAAGTTTTCATCCAAATTTGGACGCCAAGGACAGCAACTTAACAAAACACATCAGGCTCAGTGAGAAAGTGGCAATGTGTGAACGGCACACGGTCCCAGGAGGTGTAAAGGGTTCCCGTACCCGCGACATGGAGTGGAACACAGATGTCAACAAGGATTAGAGACCAGAACAGGGACTGGAACCAGGAGCAACGACCAGAATGAGAATGTTGCCGGGGGGGTCTTTCCTATAATTATGCTAAGAATTGCCGACAATTCATCCGAACAAGGGCACTGGCTGGGTCCCGTCCTGAATTTATGACTCGCTGCAAAACAATTGCCTAAAAGTACCCGACAAAACCTGTCCGTGTCCATACCTGTCCTCCTTGCCAAACTTGGAGTCTTCAGCAAAATCAGGAGACTGCGGTTGCGGCATAGGGTCTTTTTGAATCGCTTAGAATTCTCATGCACGGCCCTACTGCTGACAACCTACAACCTGTTTTTGACCAGTGAATCAAAATCAAAGTATTATTTATATATATATATATATGTATATATATATATTATATGTGTGTGTGGGTGTGTGTATGTGTATCCAGTGTATGTATTCTTCTTGGTGACACTCAATATTGCCATTACAGCACTTTCCAAGCACGAGTGACACGACACGGCCTCATCCACCATAGTATGCAATACGGTCTCAATGCTACGGTAGCCTTAGCAGCAGTTTCGGTTGCTTCCAGCGTAAAAATCTGACATATTTATTGCATTGGATGAACGCAGACATTGCAACATTTTGCACTTTGTATTTTTTGTTACAAGAATCGATAGTGAGGATGAAATGAATGAAATGAATGCAATGAGATTGAAGATGAAGGATACTTTTGAGCGTCTGTGCAGTTTACATGTTTATTTTCCAACTGCCTTTGGGGCGCAGACCTTGCTGGACCCTCTTTCGACTGCCCTACATGTTCTGCAGCTTGTGGGCAAGATACGGTTTTCATCATGGTCGTTTATCCAGGACCTTTGTTTTTCGCTTCAAATTCAGGCCTTTCCCAAGGCACAACACATCGACCATCAACATCAAGAAATAGTGTGGAACCTCCACAGAGATGATGGGCTCGGCAAACATTAAAACCTTGGCTGATTTTTGATGGTCGACGGCTCGCATTGACGCATTGGCCAAGGGCCTCACCATCATGACTTTCGCAGCCGCAAAAAGAGATCTAAGAGACCGGCGCTCTTCAGTTCACCCACAGAGATGCCATCAATTCCTTGATATCTGGATCATGGTAAACTAACATAGCTATTGAAAATGAGTGGATTTTCCCATTAAAAATGGTGATTTTCCATAGTTATGTTAGTTTACCAGAGGATATCTGGATCATTCTGAATCTACACTGCTACCCGGACCACATGCAGGCCATACATGGAAGATCATGGAAGCCTAGAAGTCAACTCTCGAGAAAGAACAAGAAAGAACCACAATTCTGGTTTAGTCTATGTAACCCCTGCTCAAAGCACACCTTAGGCCGGAGCCATCTACATCCATCATTGGGAGCAGCTTCTTGCAATCGATTTCACTGAAGTGAAACCTTCGGTGTAGAGCCCAAAACTTCAAACCCTGTTGGAAGCATTCAGTGAACCTCTGAGAGAGACTGACTCTGGATGCCTTGCAATTGTGGTAATCGGGATCCAGCAAGCCACGGACCTTGCAATCCTGTACTGCATTGTGGCTAGGGTGCCCTACATCTTCTTCAAAATCCTGACGCGTGCAGAGAAATTCCAATTGCAAATATAGATTCCATCACCCAAAACTGTTTCTGGTGTCCCAAAACTGCATCTTTCATCACCTGGACACCGTAGACTCACTCGCAAATTGCGCCTATCCATCAGCTAAGTGGATGATGTGGAGAATCATTTCGATGCATATGCTGCTCCTCTGCCACTTGTCGGCACTCACTTCTTCCTGTTCGTTTGAAACGCCCAGTGCCTCCTGTCTAAACAGAATTGTGAAAGCAATGTGATTGACAAAATACCTGCTTGTCTGCGCTGCGCAGAAGGTTTCAAAACTATATCTAAATGGCCGCGATGAAAAAGGGCATCTGTTTTCAAAATCTCAGCACACTTGCAACAATATCAACAATGGCTTCTTGTGGAATTTATATGACTTTATTACATCATATTATCATATATTACATCTCTATATATTTAGATTTATTGCCAGATTTATTGCTAGATTTATTGCTAGTCAATGTTTGAACACCAGCCACTCGGGCCACTTCTGCCAGGCCGCCGGGCCTTCAACTCGGCCAGCCTTCCAGGAGGTTTCAAGGCTGTGGCGAGATCCTCCAGAACCAAAGGTGGGGCAACCTGCCACTGTCAGCGAAATTTTCACTGGAAATTTTCGAAATTTTCACTCCTCAGGTTTTTTTATGCGTAAAAACCGCCAAGGTAAATTTAACCCAACGTTTTTTTTTGTGTCCACGAACAGCCCTGTTACAATAGGTTCTGATGTTGAGCTGGTCACAAGTCACAAGGCATGGATCTCACTAGGTCCAGCGAATACGAAGAATACATAGCGACAGACATTTATAGACTTTGGATGACCGACTGAAAACGGATTCGAAAACTGCAGAAAACCGCCTGAAAACCAACATGGCACACCTGAGCACCAGACTCCTGCCAAGCCACATAGCAGCTCGCTGAGTGTGACGGTCTGGGAGGGATCGTTCCTCCAGTTTTGGTCCAATAAATCCAAGTCACCACAGAGTTTTGGTTCCTCTGAGCGGTGCAATTCTTCGATCTGAGCTGCTAAGCTCCCCCACGGATTTCGAATCGAATTGAAGATGGCTCGATGCTCCTGCACAAAGATCATCAAAGATCTCCAGCTTCGGGCGGAACATACGCGGAACCTAACAAAAAAAAAGGCCTGTCCTGGAAGTGTTGACGAATTTTGAGTTGTAACGTAATTGATGTATTTGTGACCTATCCCTAAGCTAAAGCTGCTAACCTAACTCACTCTGTTGTGCATGTCTCTCACACTTTTGTCCCCTCCTCTGGCTGGATTACCCAAGCCCTGCCTCAGAGCACTGTTCAGCTAGCTATAATCCGACTAGTTCTACCCTGCGCTTCTCAAGTCAACTTTCCAAATTCTGCATTCTGATAGTTCGGCTTTAAGTAAAGAAAATGTGGACAAGAATAAAGAAGAATCGAAACGCCAATGAAATTCACGGCACTGAAACATCTCCTGGGCCCCATGCTGAGATATTCGGAGAATCGGTCAAAGGAGAGTGGAAGCATTGTCATGTCCTGCCATTTGCTGGGACAATACCACAGTGCTCCGTTGCGGGAACAATCAGAAACATGTTAAACCTGGTAAACTAAGCCTACAGAACGCAAGGCTTCCTCCAAACCGTCACAAAGAAACCTCTTATGGCCCCAATTGTCTATGAAAAGATGCCTTTGATGCTGAGGAAAAGTAGTTGAAAAGAGACACTACAACACTTCTTGTGCATGGGTCCGATGCTTCTGCAGGAGACTTCATTGCCCCAAATCCAACACACTCTTGCCGGGAAAAGTCTACTAGGCTTTTATTTCTTTTGAATGTGCTTTACGCAGGTCTCCTCTGTTTCCGTTTCCCTCGCACCTTGCAACTTTTCCTTCTCGGGGTTATGCTCGGCTTGAGTTAGAAAAAGCAGCTACAGAAAATCGGCAAATGTGAAATCTGCAGCAAGTCAAAATGCCTGACAGGTATGGTCAAAATGGAATGCATTCTGCACTCCTCCCTTGGGATATCGTGAGGTCATCCCAAGATTCAGGCTCAAGCTGCTTCTATTGTGCAAATAAAAGGAAAAAGATCTAACCTGCGCTCTCACCACATCCTTGGCATGCTGGAAACATCTTTTCTGGATCGCAGCGTGGGCATCTTGAATCCACGTGATAATCTCCACCCCAGTGATCAATCCAAAGTGGAACTCCTGGTGGTGGGGGTCCACGCGTTTGAGCGGTAATGGCCCAGCAAATGCGACACCAGGCAGATTCTCGATTGGCTCCTGTCTGGACAGACGACAGGTACCTGCACTGGCTCTGATAGTGATAAACTCGGCCATACCGAGTGGTCAAAACTTGGAAAGCTGCTCTAGCTCTTTCCTCGCTGTTCTCATAGTTCTGGAATCTTTCTGGATTTCTCTGTGCTTCCTCGTAGAGGTTGGTTTCTTCATCTGCTATCTCCTGCATGACTCGATCCAAGTCGAACCCAGGGATGTGGCGCTCATCTAATGGACGATACGGAGTGTCCTCTGATGAAGAGGTTGAATCTTCAAGTGGCGAAGAAGACCCTTCGCCTGGTGGGAGGTACGTGGGTCGCTGCGGCGTGTGATCTGCCACAGCGGCCATCCCTTCACCACCCGGTGGGAGGTACGTGGGTCGCTGTGACAGTTGTCCTGCCACAGCGGCCATCCCTTCACCACCATTTTCCTTTTCTTCTTCTTCTCTTTGAGCAGCAGCACCTGCAGGGAGACTTCGGGAAGACGATCCAGCTTGGTTTGACCAAGACATTTCCAGCCTCCTTACTCCTACCTTCCACAAATGCTGGCTCACGATCGTGAGAAGCACGATGATCAACGCAAAAACGACCATCATGACTTTGAGCTCGAGGGTTGAATTTTCCTGATCTTCTTTTTCTGTTTCTTCATATTCTCCTTTGGCAGCTGAGATCGCAGCAGCCAATGTGAGCAGCTTCAATGCTGCTGCTGCTTTCTGAATGCCTACGCCTTCTCCTTTTTCTTCAAAAACCTTCTCTTCTTTCTTCTCATGCTCTTTCGGTTGTGGTACTTGAACCAGGTTCATCTCCTTCTTCAAGTACCTGATTCTTTCTGAAGCTAATGGCTTGGTGCCAATGTCAGCGATCATTTGATTTCCCGCGACATGTTGAAGAAACCAGGTGCCCTGCAAGATTGAACTCCTGGCAGCTGATGCTCTCAGTCGCAAATGACGTGTGCGCCATGATCCTCCGTCAGTGGTCAAAATTGATTGGGCAGACTGAGAATCTGTCCAAGATTTTCGCTGCAGAGGGCCAAACAGCTCATCAGCTATGGCACCAATTGATTCTCCAGCCACCATGCTCTCCACAATCTCCATCATCTCCGCTTCTGCTGTGCTGAGCGTCACAAAACTTTGACGACCACTTCGCCAAAAAACAGGGCAAGAAGCTACCATGATGATGAAGGCTCCGTGGCTGACATCTCCTTCGGGTGCAAAACTGGCGTCTGACATGGCCTCAATCATCAAGGTCTCTGCTCCAGCAGCATCAAAGCAGATGCCTTCATCCATAGTGCTTTTGAGATACCCCTTGATCTGCTGGTAGATCTGGAGGACCTTCTGAGGGGCCTTCGTGACGCAAGAGCCCATCTTTGAAACGGCATACATGAGGTCCAAGCGGGTGCGTGTCACCAGCCAGAGCATCTCACCGGTGGCTTTCTGAGCTGAACGAATCAGCTCTGGTGTTCTTCCTTCTTCCTCTGGAAGTTGACTCTGATCTTTTGTGATTGGGATCTTTCTGTCTGGAGCTTCTTGATCTTGCGCAAGAAGGTCCTTGATGTAGGACTGTTGGTTGACATACCAAACGTCGCGATTCTTGGTGACATCAAAGGTCTTTGAGATCTCGACGCCTAGGAATCGTATAGGCTTTTCTCCTACTTGATCTGGTTCTGAGGTGGTCCAGATAGTTCTGATCTTTTCCATGACGGCATCTACCACCTTTCGACTTCCAGTGACCAAGATGTCATCGACATATGTCATCAAGAGCCCTTTCAATGGCAGCGGAGCAAAGTTCGACTGAGTGTCAGACTCAGCTTCACTCTCCTCAGCTTCAATCCTCCACAAGTTTGGCTCTGATGCCAGAGGGCAGAGTCGGAGTGATGTCATCTGACCTTCTTCCTCCTCCACTTCCAGTTTCATGACTTCCAATTCATCATCTCTGCAATCACCCCAGAGCTTTGGTGATCGGCGAAGTCCATAGACCGCGCGCTTGGGCATGTAGTATGTTCCTGGCTTCATGTACTTCTTTTCCAAAAGCAGCATAGGAGGTTTGACCAGCAACAAGCTTGGCTGGTCTTCAGGGCACATGGTGGCATTCAGGAAGGCTGTTTTGATGTCAATGGTCCCAGCCTCCCATTGGAATTTTGATGCCGCAACGATCAGAAGGCGCAGTGCAGAGGCATCTGCACCAGAGCTAAACGTGTTCTCTCCCTCTTTGACCTGCTCGAAGTTTCCACAGATGACCCATCGAATCTTGTTGCGGCCACCTCTTTTTCCTGGCTTCTTTGTGCAGACCAACTTTGATGGGAGAAACTCCACTGGTATGCCCCTTTTTTCTGCATCCTTCAAGAGCTCCTCCAACCTTTCTCCACTTACCTCCTCGAAGGCTTCCTTCTCTTCTAACAGTGACGTGACTTCAGCATCCACTGCCGGAAGCCAACCATTCCAGTTCTTTGAGACCTCAAGAAGGGAGATGATTTTCGTTTGGAGGACTTCATCATCTTCGCCCTTCTCTTGAGAGTCAAGCATCTTTTTGAGCTTGGCCAAGATGTCAATCTCTTCTGTGATCATTTCAGGAGAATCATCCAACATCGCCTTAGTCTCCTCCTCGACCATTCTTGTAAACCTGTTCCTCATCTTTGCCAATCTCACAGCCTCATCCTCACCTTCTTCTTTCTCCTCCATTTTCAACCTACGCACTGTAGTCTTTTCTCGAAGCCTTCGTCTTTTTGTGAGAGCATCCAAGACCTCCCTTTCGATGGCTAGCCACACTCCTTCTTCAGGTCGTTCTATGGCTTTCTGCATGTAGCATCGAGTGACTCTCGGTGCTTCATCGTTCACCTTGATCCAATGGCCATTGTCCTCGGGTGCAGGTCCGAGGTATCTTGCAACTTCCACCATAGGCTCAAACGCCTGTTTCTTCCACCTCCTCCTCCTCACCAAGACTTCTTGAAGAAAGCGGGGGAACTCTGGCTTCTTATCCAGCCTTTGGCACCTGTAGATCTCGTTCAGGTATCGAAGTGCCCAAGGCCACCATGAAGAGTCTACTCCTGCATGAAGTAGAATCCTTCTCAGCTGGTTTTTCACTGACTTGACCGTAACCTCAGCACGGCCGTTGGCCTTTGGATCATCGCCCGATGTTCTTGTCAAAAGAATGCCTCGAGACCTCATCCATGTTTCAAATGACCCAAGGAATTCGTGGCCTCTGTCGCTGTGGATACGATTCACATGATATCCATCAATCTTCAGTTTGAGAACCATCTCCATCGCTACTCTTGTGACTTCCCTCGCCTTCTTTGACCTCAGAGGGAGCGCCATCTTGAAGACTCTGATTTCATAGTCTTTATCTTCGCTTTGAGGACCATCTTCTGCTTCTTGTTGACCATCTTGATCTTTATCTCCTCTTTCTTTCTCTTCTTCTCCTCCTGAATCTTCAAGACGGGACTCCTCAGGAAGTTCTGCACCTCTTGGCAAGAGGCCATCAGGAGGCTGTTCATCAGCTTCCTGGTCATCACCTTCAGGCTCCTCGGCAAAAAGATCAAGCACTGGTGCCTCTTCAAGACCACCTTCTTCTTCGGGTTGACCTATCATCTTTTCTGTGCCCTTTGGAACCATGTATGTGTAAGCACCAGCCAAAAAATATCGACACTTCCAGCCACCAACATCGCTTGATGGTAAAAGAGGCCCACATGTGTCAAGAGCAAGAACTCCTGTTTGTGGATGTTTGTTTCGTCGATGAGGAAGGATCTGTTGGGAGGATTGCAGGCAAACAGGACAGTCACGGCGATATGGAACATGACCGAAAGCAACATGCTCTTCATAGGTGAGAGCCCTGAGTTGCGGTGTCCCCTTGAACACCTGAGTTATGACCGCTTCGCTGACAGCGTTCATCAGTCCAGGTGCCCATCTTTCCAACTGTTTTGAGCTTTCCACAGGTTGCGCAGGTAGAAGAGGACCCATCTTGTGATCCTCCAAGCACAAATCAAACGTAGTGCCCAAAGTGGTGGGTTTTGTTGCCATACCTCCAAGACATCCCTGATTGAAAGTGACCTCCTTCAACTGAAACTCCTTTCTCAAATCATGCCACTCAGTGGTGTCCCAAAACGACACAGCTGCAGGTTGATAAGTCTTTGGAGATGCAGGTTGTTCCAACGCAAAGTGAACAGGATCTGGTCGCAACTGTGCCTTGCGGACATACTCTGAAATCATGTACAAGAAAATCATTCGCCAAAGAAGAGTGTCATCTTCTTGAATCATCTTTTCTTCTTTCTTGTTGATCCAGTGTGCTCCAAATTCCCCTCCCTCCCAGCAACGCACTGGACGGGGGGCCCATGGTTGGCCTTCAATTGGTCGATGTCGGAGCACACTTCGACTTCTGCAGTTCGGGCCACCCAAGACAGCCAGAATCTTTCCTGAAAGCGCAGCTCGCAAGAGAGTGGCATAGATCCCTTCGTCAGCAAGCATATCATACGCTTGCCCCTTCTTTACATCCACTTCCAAAAGCCTCCTTGTCTTACTGCCTTGACACCTCATAGATCGCTGAAGTGTGTGACCTGAGTCCTCTCCAGAGTACAAGTGCAGTGCAAATCCCTCAGTTTTCAACGTTCGTCGCTGACGTCGATTCAAAGGCAAAGATTCCCATTCTCCCGGCTGGACCACAAGCTTCTTTTGGAGCCAGTCAGGAAGACGAGACAAAACTGGGTGAGCTTGTAGAAGCCTTCTCATCCATCCAAGCTCTTCTTCTATGTCTAGGCGATTCAATGAGACGCCTTTGTTGCAGTCTTCGATCTCAGAGATTAGCTCCAATGCCAACTTCCTTGGAATCTGTGGACAACCTCCACAGTCTTCAACTGGTAAAAGACCTCGGATTGGATGTTGGACTTGAAGAGCTCCCTTCGACCACGACACCACACAGCCTAGGGCATCGATCAAAGAACCCATAGGCACAATCGGCTCAATGTTCTGGTCTGAGGTGATCATGGAGCCACCTGGGGACATGTGCAACTGAATGGACTTGCCATCTGCCAAAGTGACAGAAACTTCTTTCAACTTGTGGGTGTCCTCTTCTTCTCTTGATGGACGCAACGCATGAGTGGCCCCACTGTCAATGAGACCTCGACCCAGACCAGCGCCAATGCGCCCAAGCTTGAAGACCTTCAGGGAATTGAGCTGAGCCTGAAGGCGTGACAGCATTTCACTTCGGCTGTCTTCATCTCTGTTTGATGCCGAAGAGGAATTGGGAGATGAAGTCGAGTGAGATGTGAGTGATCTGAGCATCTTGTTGGCTTCTTCAATCAGCCCCTTCATCGTCTCAGACTCTTCCTTTGTCTCCTCACCTGTCTTTACTTCACCTGTCTTCACTCCTTCTTCAACTTTTGCGCCCTTCTGCTTCGGAGGCGATCCCTCACCTGTTCCCTTTCGTGGACATGCAGGAGCCAAGTGTTCTTCCGCACCACAGACGTAGCATCGCCTTTTTCCGTCTTTTCAGTGTGAGAGAACTTGCAATCACGGCCCTTTCTGCAGCCTTCTGGAGTCAGGTAGAACTTGCACTTGACAACCTTCTGACGTTCTCCTCTATCTTCTTCTGCTGTCTTCTCTCTACCTTTACCTTTTCCTTTTGCATCCTCCTTCTCATACTCCATCATCTTCACTTTCGGTTCAACCTTGGCGTTGTTGGGGACGGTCTTCTTCTCCATTTGCGACAACTGCTCGCACTCAGAGAGGAGGTGCATTGCAAACTGCGTCACACTCTCCAAGGTCGGCACCGTATCTATGCCTAACCCATGACGTGCAAGCGACACTCGAAATTGTAGTTCTCGATTTGTTTCCAAAACCTTCTTTGTCATCCTCAAAAGCCCACGAACAAGAAGAGCAGGATCAGGCGTGATCGCTCCGATTTCGGTGGCCCTCTGACGCCACCTGATCCACTTTCTCAAAGCCATTGGAGCATCTCCCAATGTTTGGACTTCCGCAGGATCCTCAAGGTTTTTCAGGAGGTTCTGTTTTTCGGAGATACCACCTGGACAGTAGATCACATAGAGGTGTGTGATGATGGAGAACACACTCATCCTTCTGGTGGACACAAGCTCTTCACGAACTTGTTCAGGCATCGCTTGAAGCATCATCGTGGACATGCGTCGCTCCAATCGCTGCCATTTTTCCTGTGTCAAAGAAGGTGGAGTTCCATGTCCATGTTGGAGACGTTCAAGAGGTGACATCTTCATATGAGACTGATACCAACCCTCGGCCTCTTTGAGAATGGTCTTCCACCAGGTTTCAGCAGTTGCAGTCAAATCTGAAACCACCGGTTCGATGAGCAGCAGCCAATCGCTCAATTGAAGTGGCGATTGATTCGACGACCAAGCAGGCAAAGGAGGTAATTCTTGAGCACCAGATCGAACTACCTCAATCCCTCTGATTGATCCTCCTTCTTCTCGGTCTTCTTGATACTTGCGCTGCAGCTCTTTCATATTTTCCATCATCAGACACATAAACTCAAGTGACTTTTCTGTAAATCCAGCAGCTCCTGTCTCGGCTGATGGACGTTCTCCTCCTGGTTGTTGTGCTTCGCCAGACATTCCTTCAGGGGGTCTAGCGGCCTCCTTTGGTGCACTTGCTGGGGGTCTTGCAGCCTCCTTCTGAGCGCTTTCTGGAGGTCTTGCAGCCTCCTTCTGAACGCTTTCTGGGGGTCTTGCAGCCTCCTTCAGAACGCTTTCTGGGGGTCTTGCAGCCTCCTTTGAACCATCACTTCCATTTGGCGTGGAAAAAGACAAATCAACTTCGGGAACAGCAAACCCTGTTTCCAACGCATGAATCCTGTGTTTCAATTCCTCATTCTGATTTATCAATTCCTTCATATATGCCCTCATGGTGGACATCTCATGAGATTCAGCCGACATTCTGGCTTCTTCGGCTTCCAAAAACGAAGGTCTCCTAAAAGCTGGAAAAAAGGACCGGGCTGGTTGATCTCCGTACAACCATGGTGTCCTACTCTGCAGCATGACCATGTCTCTAACTTGCTCTTCGGTGAACAAAGGTGTGTGCATGACATCCGGAGTGGCTGATCCCTGATTTGGAACCCCGGCTGAGTTTTGAAGCGGGGTCATCTCCTCCACTTTCTTGTTCATGTCAACTACTCCAGGTGTCATTGCCATCGCGGTAAGACCAGCAGAAGACTTCTCACTTCGTTCTTTCTGAGGATTCGCGCTCCTAGGCTGAGCAGCGAGAGAGGATGCTGACTCACTTCGTTCTTTCTGAGGATTCGCGCTCCTAGGCTGAGCAGCGAGAGAGGATGCTGACTCACTTCGTTCTTTCTGAGGATTCGCGCTCCTAGGCTGAGCAGCGAGAGAGGATGCTGACCCTGGCTCGGCGGGTGTGATGGCGGCAGGGGAAGTTCGTGGTGGCAAAGGACTGGTCTTACCTTCCTCATCTCTTTCTTTTGTTGGGAGACTTTTTGGGGCACCTTCCAGCTTCACCTTCTCTACTTCCTCTACCTTTCCATCACCTTGAACATCTTCTAAGGGCAGTTCACCTCCTTCATTCGCCTCTTTCTCAAACCTTTCTTGTGCTAACCTCATCTCTTCTTGACCTTGTTGCATCTCTTTCGGAGTCGCTTTTCTTCTCATCTGAACTTGCATGGTTCGCCCTTGGGCTCATAACCTGCTTTGCGCAGGTCTCCTCTGTTTCCGTTTCCCTCGCACCTTGCAACTTTTCCTTCTCGGGGTTGTGCTCGGCTTGAGTTAGAAAAAGCAGCTACAGAAAATCGGCAAATGTGAAATCTGCAGCAAGTCAAAATGCCTGACAGGTATGGTCAAAATGGAATGCATTCTGCAGAATGAGTCGTCACAAAAACACAAAATTCGCTTGCAAGTTACAAGTGCACGAAATGTAGTTCTTGAAGCTTACAAGAATGCCCAAATCTATCAAAACTATTCAAAACTAATCTTTGAAGCAGTTCTACTGCAAGGTGGTGCCCCATAGTTAGCCAAGTTGGTTTATAACTCCCATAACTATGGTTTATGGCAGATATAACTATAGTTAATGGGGTTTATAAACCAACTTATAACTGAGGGGCCCCACTTTGTGTCATTGTCCCTCACAAATCTCACAACAACTTAACCGCGCCTGCCCAGGCCCATGCCTCACCGCTCGGTCAAGCCGAGTCAAGCCAATCCGTCTCGAGTTAGTCGGGTTAGTCGAGGGCATTTAAAAAAATCTATGGCTCTTGGCAAAATGCATTGGTTAGTTCACATGTGTGACATGTGTGCCTTGGATTTTGTGAACTTTGTGAACTTGCGCAACGAATTACAACGAATTAAGCTTGGCTGAGGTAAAGAGAGTAAAGCATAGTAAAGCTTGAAAGGCAGAAAGCAACCAGAAAGCAACCAGAAAGCAACCAGAAAGCAACCAGAAAGTGACCCTGAGGTTGCTGCATGGCTGACAAAGCTGTCATCATGGAAGGAAACCCCAGGCACCTGAATGACAAAATGTCTGTAGCGCAGGGTTTGGCCATGCGCAAGGATCGTTGGAATCGCTACCAGTTCCAATGTTCCCCCACAAGTGTTGATCATTCTTGATCTGTCAAACACAAGACCTGTAATATTCTTTGGCCATGTGGAAACAGCGCAAAGCACGGCACAAAGCACCATTCCAGAATTCCGCGACATTTGAGATTTCTTGAGATTTCTTGAGATTTCTTGGTCTCTTTTGGAACAGAAAAGATACACGCACGCCGTCTCAATCCGTCTCATGGATCCCATAGGGTCCAGGCAACAAGCGCTTGCGCAGTGTCTCCATGCAAAGGACAGGCGCCACAGTTTCGATCTTGGAAGACTTCCAGTCAAATGGCAGTGTGTCAAAACCTTGTACCCCTGTAGTTCACATCAAAATAGCTGGGATTTATGGATGTTCATCCCACTAAAAATGGTATTAATAGGTATTGATCCATACCCAAATCAAATTTCTGAAGATCTTATGAAGATCTTATGAAGTGAAGCTCAATGAAAAACTTCTAACCATTCGAACCTCTCCAACCTGAGCGTGAGGTCAACTAAACCTCCCTGGGGCTCCCTCAACCTTTCTGGGGCTCCCAAGCTCCCCAATGGAATTCTTCCAGTGTGACATCTCCATCCTGACGAATTGGCGCTTGGAGGTGCTTGGAGCTGCCATTGCGCGCAGCGGAACCCCGGAACCCGAGACGCGGAGAGGCTGGAACATTCACCACAAGAAAAAAACGAGAACAAGAAAAAGATTCACAAGACTCACAAGACTCAAAATTCAGAACTCACCTTGTTCTCGTCCAGAAGCTCCTCAGCTGCCGTGATCATCAGAGAAGCATAGAGAAGCGCAACTGTTACAGTATCAGGCAATGGGGAGCAGAATCTATCGAAACCTGCTCAGTACCATATGTACCATGGATAAAATCACCCTGAAATTTGCTTTTCGGAACATGCACAAAAAAACGGATACGGACTCAACACGTATGGTCAAGAGTCATAAGGGACTCATAACTTGGACATGGACTAATAAAACGTTGATTCCTGAAGAGTTCATTCATTAAAGTCAAAAATTCATTGAAAAATCCACATAAAAATGGGTGACTCGCCGCACAAAAGGTCCCTCTTCTTTCGGAATGTTCATCACCAATGAGTCCAGGCACATAGATCACGCGTGCATCTTGCATGCTTGCAAGGCCTGCAAATGGAGGTAGGGTTCTTGCACTGAAAATGTTGGAATCTCGAATCAGGTCCAGGTCCTCCCCGATGCCTAGGTTGGTCATAGCTGCGGCCCACTCCTGCAGGTTCATTTCCTTCGTCACCTAGCAGGCACCATCTGCCGGGAATAGTTGCTCATATGACCTGCATTCTTTCGCCATGGAAATGCTCGCCATGCAAACACCCCATAATTCTTCGCATACTCATCGAATCTTCTTCGCGGACCGAATGGACATTTCACACTTACGCATTTGCGATAGAAAGGTCGTTTTGATTATTCTGATTCTGCGCCTTTGACAAGTAGCTGTCGATGGCTGCAAAAGCATCCTGCCGTGTACAGAAAGCTACGTAGCTCCAGAACTGCATGAAATGGTAGGATTTTTCATTATAAAGCATCCATTTTGGGGTACCCTCTGGTAAACTAACATAACTATGGAAAATCACTATTTTCAATGGGTAAATCCACTATAAATGGCCATTTTCAATAGCTATGTTAAATTACCAGAGGGTACTTCCATTTTAGGACACCTCCAAATCTGACATTCCATGCAGAAACCTGTCTTCGTGCCTGGATCGTGGGCCATTTTTGGAGAAGTTTCTCTCGAAAGTCGTGGAGTGGGTGGCCCTGACATGTTGCGACATCCACCGACACCCAAATTGGTGATAGCCAAGGAAGATGAAGATGGATGAAGATGGACGAAGATGTATGGTCCTGGATGGTTCTTGAGTGTGTGGAATGCATTAAAAAAACAGTCAGCACTGACTGTCCTTCCCCATTCCCAAGTCACAAATCAAACTAAAAAGAGAGACCTTAAACTTATGCCGGCTGCAATTTCAAACACTATCAAACACAAGTGTATCAAACGACACTTACCTGCTGTACTGATGATATTGACGTGGGGGGTTCTCCACGAGTTTCGACTAGGAAAAACCCAAGGAAATGCTGCGCACAGTGCAGGACTGCAAATCTGATTTTCTGGAGCTGAGAGCGTGAACATGCGTGAACCGTTGGGACTTGTGGGGACGAAATCAGGACTTGTCATCATTCCAAATTCAAAACCGGAAGAGCACTTGCAAATACTTAAAATATCTAATAATATCTAATAATATCTAATAATATCTAATAATAATATCTAATAATATCTAATAATATCTGATAGTCACCTCGGCAGAATATGCTTAGAATACACGGAGTGCAGAAGCCAGAGCAAGTCTACGCGGAAGTATAGACTATAGTGACTATAGATAGATACGATGTTCGTGAGGCAAAGTACAACATCTGCCAAAAGTTTCCCCCCAAGAGAAACTGAAATGCAGAAACAGTCACTGTCAAGGGTGGCTTCCAAACGAAACCTTCCACATGTTCCATTTCACCAGTCCACCCATGCCAATCTGATCCAGTCTGATCCAATCTGATCCAATCTGCCTTCCGCTTCCGTCTTCCGTGCCTGGCATCATGCGATGCCAAAGTCTGATCGAATTTCTGTGACCCAATTCTGGCAACTTGAGGTCATGGCCATGACGGAAGATTCTGTAAATCAAAAAATATCGGATCTTGGTAGGCTTTTCTGCAGAGCTCAACTACTCAGCTATTCACCTAAAAAGGCACGCGTTTTCCTGTCTTGTACTTGTTTTCGTACAGCATGACAATGTGGGTCAGATCAGATATGGTCAGATTCCATGCTGTGGAGAACTCTGGGCAGGAAAAGGCTGAAGGTGAGGATAGGAATTGTATCATAAGCTGCGGCTTTGCGCAGCGCACAAGTTCAAACGAACTTGCGGTATGAGTCGACTGTGGAGAATTCCACGCCATGGAGACTTTGACGTCAACATGTTTTTAAACATTTTTATGGTGGTGGTCTTGGGCTACAAAGGCCGATTCACTTGTGTAAGCCCTGTAGCCTCGAACATATCATTTCCCACACGACAATCTTCACTGCCATCCTGATGCAGACGTAGCAGTTTGTTGGCTCCCAAAAAGGCTTTCGTTGCCAACCTGGTCAGAGTCAGTAGGATGAATCTTCCCCGGTCTTCTGCATTGAAATTTATCGTCTGATTGCGAGAGTGTCACGTCTGATTGCGAGAGTGTCACTACTATACCGTATGTAGCAAAAGAACAAAACCAATCAAAACCATATACGGAGAAAGAGAGAGGGAGAGAGTTCCAGGGCAAAAGGAGCAAGCGTCCAAGATGCCTCAAAGATGATTTCTCGCAACGGCATAGTAGCTCGCATACTGACATCCTGAACCACGGGAACGCCACTCATCAACTGGCACTGACTTTTGCTTGAAAATGCTGGAACGGGGCCTCTCTGCACCAGCTGCACTGCCAGCCTGAGTTAGAGATGCCAACAAGATTGGGATAGTCCATGCAAGTCACTGTGATTAGTTCTTGGTGGTAACTAATCAGTGATAACTTCTAACTTGTCACAGTTCAAAGGTAATGTATGGTCTGAGTCTACTGTATGGTCCAAATAAGATATGTTTTTCATTGAAGAAATGCATGAACTGTGCCTGCTGTACTCACTCAGCTTCTGGCGATGCACTGCAAAGGTGGAGCTGCTGCGGAGGGCGGCATCGTTTCGGAGCGAAGCTTCCAGCGAAGCGCAAGCGAAACGTAGAGCCTGCGCTGGCCATCGGGCCATCCAAAAATGCCATGGCCAAAGCGATGGCTGGTTGTACAAAATGCCATGCCATTCAAAAACAAAATGCCATTCATGGAAAAAACATGAACATATCATGAACAATGACATCATCAATTATCATCAATTATCATCACCATTGCCGCAAATCAGAATTGGTGTTGTTTCTTTTCATGATTTTCTACATCCGCCTGGCGATGATTTTGCAAGAGTTGGCCGCCAATAAAGAGATCACGACAGCTGGAGGTCATGGATGCTACATTCCAACGAGCCAAGTGCGGAGAGAAGTAATCCTTGGAACTTCAGGATCTGCAAGGATCAAGTCTCGGATCAAGGCACTTTTGACCGGAAACTGGATGCTTTTGGTTTTGTTCTTCAGAAGCATTAGCCTCTGGTAAACGTTTACGTAACTATGGAAAATCACCATGCTATTAATGGGTAAATCAACTATAAATGGCCATATTCCATGGCTATGTTAAATAACCAGAGGGTATGAAGCATTCGTGTATTGTTCTCTGTCGTTCAAGCAGAGCAAAGCTACAGAAAGGATCGGAAATGGACCAAGGGACCATTGCTTCTCCCTGAAAAAGGTGTAAGGCAGTCATCCAAAAAGTCGTCCAAAGTTGTGTCCGCTGTTTTTTCGATCACATTTTCACCTTTCAACATATTTCAACATATTTCAACATATTTCAACATATTTCAACATATTTCAACATATTTCAACATATTTCAACATATTTCAACATGGGATATGGGTGGTAAGTTGTCAGCCGTTTTGCCCAGCTTTCCCAGCAAGTGTCTGTCTCCGAGCTAATTCTGGTGCTGGAATGGAGTCCGAATGGAGATGCCATGTTTATTCAGTTTCTTCTGCAATAATTCTAAGAGTGTTTCAAGGGTTTAATAATTTACACACTCGAACAAAGATACATAAAGATACTAACCCCTGGACTGGATACTATACGTATAGATATATCTGGAGGTGAACCTAAAATAGGAGCACCCTATTTTAATCATCCATTTTGATACGATGTTCAATTAGAAAAACCATCCATTTAATGGGGTAGCCTTATTTTTGGAACCCCCATTTATATAGATCTGTTTGATTCTATTCGCATTTGAAATGTCAAGATACCCGCATATTACTCATATTAGCCTCATAAAAAACCCTCAACAAGATTGGCTCATCGGCCCTCGTCAGGCGACAAAGGGCAGCCGTGCCACACAGCCGTGCCGTCTGCAGCTGCTGTGCGACAAACTCATGCGATCTATGAGCCGCGGCCCGGTACACTGTACGGGATCACTGCCACAGCTTCGCCTTAGCGGCGCTCAGCGCTCAACTGTGACCATTTGGAAAATCACTTTAAATCATGTTAAATCAGTTTAGATGATTTTAGGATTGCGAGAATCTGAATGGTCTGAATGGTCTGAATGGTCTGAATGGTCTGAATGGTCTGAATGGTCTGAATGGTCTGAATGGTCTGAATGGTCTGAATGGTCTGAATGGTCTGAATGACAAGATGCTGGAAGATCTCTTGCAAGACCTCTAGCCAGAAGGGATGCTGCGGTGCACTCGCCATGACAGCGTTGCTCACCAGCCGGCCTGAGAGCCTTGGTTCCGCAATGCTCAGCCACTGTCATGCTGAGGTTTGTGCATTCTGTGCATTCTGTGCAGTGCATCTGCGTCGAGTTTGTGGCCTCTTCTCCAGGAGCACTGTATGCACAATGTTCTCCTGGCGCCATGCGTGATTTCAACAGACTTTAGCTTGAAAAAAAGCTTGATACCAGTCCACAAAGATCATCAAAGATCCACAAAAGCTAAATTCATGGAGCAACTTTGGTGGATCTTTAGTATCATTTGCATTCATTCGCCAGGTTCCGAAAGTTCAGCTGAAGTATCGAGCCATGGTTCAGCAGTCCCCCGATCCCGATAGCCCGATGGTCCGATGGCCCGATGGCGATGTGCCTCACCAAGTAGAACGCCCATGCGAGCATTCTGCGCAGCTTGTAGCAGAGGGTCAAAGCATCTGGCCGCCTCCACATCGATGTCTGCGTAGATACCGCCATATGCCTAACGCTGTAGACAAAGCCAAGCCCTGCGGCTAAATCCACGAGGAAAATGGACGAAAATGGACGAAAATGGACAAAAAATGGACGAAAATGGACGAAAATGGATGAAATGACAGTTGTGTGACAAAAAGCTCCATGAATTGTGTGGGGAAGACAACACTTTGACTATGCATGATCAGCCATGCTGCCAAGATTCGTACAGCGCTACAATTCGAGCTACATCGGCACGTTTTATGCCGGACATCCTGCAGGCAAACAGATCAAAGGCACAGAACATCCCAGCAGTAGAAAGGGATACCCACCAGACATACTACATCCAAAAGTCTGTGAATCGGCCAAGAAACTCTTCAAATGCAAGTGCGTGCTGCGGGAACACATCCTCACGGCGATGGCTCGCAATCTCAGGAGATCACATTTTTCAACGCACAGCTTTGTCAAACAAACATAACTAGGAACCAAGTAGGAACAAAAAAATGAAAAATAGGAAGAAAACAAATATATCAAATATGTTTTCCAAAAATGCCGATTCTTTGCCGTAGGTCCCACAGCAAATCCGCACTTCGGTCATCATCCCAGAATTCAAAGCGCCAGTGCGGGTGCAGCCGCCGCCAAGAGCTGATTTCATCACCTCAGAACCACAGCTGTCGCTGCCCAACGCCGGCCTAGAGGCCTAGCCATGCCTAGCCTTGGCCAAGGCACGATATTTCACAGGAATTTCATCGGTTTTCCAGGTCTGATGCAAAATCTTGGGGATCTTCCAATCTGTCCTCGCGGCGCGATACACGGCACAACATCTGCAACATCTGCGATGTAGTTTCCGCTCCGTGAGCAGGAAGTCGACAGGAAGTATGTTTTCGTGAATGCAACATGTTCACATCTCATTCAGGAAAGAACTACAGCGGGCCTTTCAACATGTTACATACATATTTCACAATGGGGACATGAAGCTCACGGCTAGAAGCTCATGGCTAGACTAAAACTCTCTTTGATGTTTCTTGACTAGACGCTAGATGGACAAGATTCAACCAGATTCAAACAGATTCAACTGGATTCAACTGCTAGTGATGATGGAGCGGAGCCGGTGTCCTGGAATCGATACCTACGCGGAGCTCACTTTGAGGCTGGAGCCTCAGCTCCCGTTCGATAGCACGAGTGCGGTTTCTTAAGAGCTTGAAGTAGGCCTGGCAGAAGAGTTCCTCTGATTTCCTCCATCCTCTCGCAGACTCTATCAAATTCAATGTTCAAGACATTTCAATGGAGACCAAAAGGGAGACATAGGAAATGAAAATGTCGAAGTCTCACAGTTATGACAGTTGGCAAGTGGCAATTCGATGCTACACTATAATTAAGACGGAAGACGCTTTACAGGATTTAGCTGCATTTAGCTCATATTATATGACTCATATTGCAAGGATCATATCACTATCTGCCCACGGCGCAATAGCTATTGCTAGCGCTTGATTCATGTGCTTCAAAGCTCACCGGAAACCTGCCTGTTCGGATGCGGATGGTATTGACAAAGGTGCGCCTGGACAAACGCCTCACGACGCCAAAAATTTGCCCTGCTGCCGCTATCCAGCCTAGACAAATACAGGATACTATAATAATAATAGTTATACCATAGATAATAATAATTAGATAGTAATAATAATTAGATAAATGGTATATGCTGCCTAGAAAAGCCAAAGCCAAATCTGACTCTCTGCACGGTGTAATCAGCGGGTCTTTTGCAGAGACAACCACGAGAATGGACTACCGGCAGGATTACAGGGCCATTCCAGACCTGGGCAGTGGGCCCTTTTTGTAAAACAATTCTTCCAGGAACAAAGTCTCCATGGGCTGAGGATGGCGAAGCCTTCCAGAGTTTTGGAGTGCGTACAGCCATCCTGGTTTATTCTTCGCCAAGCTTGTACTACGTACTTTCCGCTTTCTGTCGTACGTCGCCATACCTTCGGGTTTCTTGGTATGTAATGTAATGTATGCACTACAGTGTCCACATATGCTGTGCTATCACTCATATCACTCAAGCAAGTTCAGTATGTTTTTCCCTTGCGAATCTATCGGGCCCAACATGGTTTACTAATCAGATTCTGCACCGGCCCACTTTGTGCTAGATGTTACAGCAACAATCTCTATACAAAACAGTTTAACCACCAAACATTTTCTGCACCGACCTGGTCTTCACACCAAAGAGTGTGCACCAAACAACTTATACATCAACCAGCTTTCACGCCAACAAGATTTTCACACCAACCAGCCTTTCCAGTAAGCAGGTTGTACACTAACCAGCTTTAAGGCTTTGTGCCAACCAGTTTCTACACCAACCAGGTTTTACACTACAACCCAAGACCCTCTCTATAGGCTCACGGGCAGGGCCAGCACAACATTCCAGAGGCTGGGAGGTTGTACAAAAATGAAATCGTTTATAAAACCTACATCGGGATGTGTCAGGAAATTGCTGCACAGCATGACTGTAATCACCTATCACAAGTGGTACAGTCAGTGCAAACTGGAAACCAACCCGAAAACTGGACGCTGCAAATCCGGGAAGTTAAGCCATGTTAAACCATGTCCAACTGCAACCAAGTTCACAACACCATGTAGATGCAATGTGTGGAAGAGTTGCATAGTCTATATATATATGTGTGTGTGTGCCTACTCACCAAATACCTGGACATGTGACGACATGTCTACAAAATTATGCAAACCTCTCTGTCGAAATAGGATTCAAATTGGGGGCGCCCCAGGCGATATCCAGAATCCAGAGTTCATTTCACTGGGTCCTGACCCACTTGTATTATTTTGTATTGGCCCCTATTTTCTTCATATGTTCTACCATTGTCTTAAAGACATTAAAGACGGGAAAATCTGCAATTAACAAAACACAAGGGAACAGAGACTGACCTTTCTAGACTTTCTAGCCAGTCATGGTACTCCGCAAAAGCTCATAGTTATCATAGTTCAGTAAATCAATTGGGGAGCAAAAACGTAGGTGTCACAGTGTCCACTGTGAAGATCATCCTAGAACAGGCACAAGTCAGGGTCAGACTGGGCGCAGTTACAAACACGGCACCAAAGAAATACGCCTCTGACACCTAAATATCTGTTAAAATATGTTAAAATCATCTAAAATCTGTTAAAATCTGTTAAAATCTCCTAGATACTTGGCTAGTCTCTGGTGCCCACAATGATGTGGTGAGACACGTCATGACAGCCAGGAGAAAAGTTGTTGAAACGACCAACAAAACATGATGGAGGACATGGCGTTACTGGACCAAGAATTGGACAGAGCGTGCCGCAAGGGGCTGAGGAAAAGGAGCAACTCCTCTCAAAAACATTGGTAAATTATGACAAATTTGACAGTTTCATACAATTTACATTTAGTCACAATATTCGAAAGTTTCACACTTTCCTCACACTACTCCATTCTCATTTGGCACACCCATGCGGAAGAGAAACCACAGGTCACTGGGCAAATGCGTCGCACGCGCTCTCCAGATTCCCAATCCTCATCAGGCTCATCAGGTTGACATCGACACATCATCCATTGCTTGAAATATGTTGAAATGTTCAACACACCATCACATCACCATATATTGGACATCGACACATCATCCATTGAATCCATTGGTTGAAATATGTTGAAATGGTAGTACCCTCTGGTAAACTAACATAGCTATGGAAAATCACCATTTTTACTGGGAAAACTCACTATAAATGGCCATTTTCAATAGCAAACTGTTAGTTTACCAGAGGGTAGCGTTCTTAGAATTCGGCTGAGCTGATCCTGAGCTGATCTGTGGCTGGGAACCCATTGCTGTCGGTGCACCTTGCAGTGTTGCTGCAGTTGGCTGCAGGGTGACCTGAGACCGCTGTCAACCGGCAACAAGCAACAAATGTTCAAGGGATCCTTGGTAACTTGGTACATCCTGGTACATCCTGGTACATCCTGGTACATCCTGGTTTCTAAGGTTTCTATCAAGACAAAATTCCATGAAATTCCGAGCTGCATTGTCCCGTCCGGCTCCTGGAAAGTGGTAAAATCTAAATCTCTGCAGGGCCCATCGCAAGAAGCGTTGCAGGACTTCGGGCCTTGCAAAAAGACCGTGGACTGGTTCCCATGTGTTGCACTAAGTCACTAAGTGTTGCACGAAAAGCTCCAGAATAACAGGCAGTAACCGACAGAAGACTCTAGTTCTTACTGAAATACTGTATTCGGATAATGTCAACCCCGGATTAATAAACCATGGTTTATTAATTAGGGGGTACCCTCCAAATAGTCACAATATGGTACATAAATGGTACCCTCCCAATTAAACAGACTAGGGGTTTATTAATCCAGGGTTGACATTAATTGTCTTGTCACATGTCAGTCTTGCCATGCTCCAAGGGACACATCGCTTTGATTGCATCGGCAGAGGGCCCGCGATCGCAGTTGGCACCACCTCAGCTGCGATCGGTTTTTTTACGACGAGGCGTCAGGCGTCGCGCCGTTTTTCGCCCGAGATGCTCATCCCATGGCATTCTACACTCAGGCCAGTGGTGGCAACGTCGAAGCAGGAAGATGCAACACCTCATCTACAGTGAGATCAAGTGAGATCAGTGAGACATGACCGAGACAGCTGTGGTGCAGATCCGCTAAAATCACATGAAATGGGAGCAATGAATAGCAATGATTTTTTAGCGTGAAAAAGGGCTCCAAAATTAAAATGCTCGAAACATCTCTGCTGAAATATAAACCACAGTCATGATACCCTCTGGTAAACTAACATAGCGAACTGGAAAATCACTATTTTTCATGGGTAAATCCATTATAAATATCTATAAATGGCCATTTTCAATAGCAAACTGTTAGTTTACCAGAGGGTATTGAATGATTCCCTCGTTTCAAGCCACAGCCCAAGCCCTTAAGCCCTGAGTCCGGCCTCTCCCCAACAGGGAAGGACGCACTTTGCGAGTGATGGGCGGAGGTGGAATGCTGAGAGCTGTCGATGTGGGGAAGTTGCTTGGCTCCTGCAGGATTTTTTGTGGGGACAACTTCAGGATCATTTAACGGGATCAAACGTCAGGAATGTCAGGATAATTTCGGACGCACATCTGGCACATCTTAGCACATCTTGACACCATCACCAAGATCTGATGAGTTGAATGGCTTGGGATTGCTTTGCATTATCATTGCTTTCTCCATATGCTTTCTCCATATGCTTTCTCCATATGCTTTCTCCATATGCTTTCTCCATATTGGACAACATAGTTGGACAACGACTCGAAGCAAAATCTGCGAAGAACGACGAACTCGACTCTGTCACGGCCTCTTCCTCGTCTGCCTCTTCCACAATCGTCAGATTTTCTTTCCTCTCTCTCTCCTCTCTCTCCACTGTCTGCGCTCTCTCCACTCCGGCTCGTAACGAAGCCAATTCTCGATGGACCTGCAGTGAAAGGAGCAGCGAAAGGTTCCAAATGCATCAAATATATTTCTACTATATGGATCTATATGGTGGTTGATCTAAGTGCCTGTGAAGACTCTAAAAATCACAGAATCCTTACGACAGATTGTCGCTTGGTTTATGTTTGCAAGGCTTACGAATGACCATCGATCCCCTTCAAAATGCACTCACTCGAACACCTTCGCTCCGTATCGAGGAACTTTCACAGAACTTTCCCGAACATCTCCAGAAAAATGTTCCAATATCGAACTTTCGCGATTTATACTTTCGCAAGGCTTCTCTTTACATTATATGAATGGTCATCTTTCATCATAACTCTATATGAATGGTCATCGCAAACCTAAAAACTCTTTGCTGGGACCTCTAAAGATCAACCACCATACTTCAAATATGTTCAAATGCAGGCCTCTTCCAACTCCGCAAGCATATCCTTGACCGTGCCGCCAAGGAGATCCAAGTGCACCTGTTTTGAACAGTGCACCTGTTGAACCACGATGTTCCGCGTCAAACTGTTTGACGTAAACCCTGCTGGATATTACACTATTACATATTACACTATTACACTATTACATATTTCCTGCTGGATATTACTATTGATGTATTACATATTCGGTTGAATGAAAAGGAAGGTTAAACAAGTTGAACACCAAAATCTCGGTTTTCACATGTTGAAAGTGATCCTTGTACCGGGTTTTGTCGATTTTAGTGATCCTTTTTGGGTCACCGAGTCATGTCCGAGTCATGTCGTCATGTACCTCCAGGCGCTGGATGGGACGCCAGGTGAAGATCAGGGATAGAGAGATGGCAAAGCTCAGGAAGCTGGCCAAGCTGCTGAAGCTGCTGAAGCTGCTGAAGCTCCAACTGCCTACCTGTCGGCATCTCAAGATTGGGTTTGTGCCACATTATACCAAGATGACATACATTATACATATATGTATATATATATATGTGTATATACATATATACACATACATATCATACATATATATATATATACACGTATATTATATATATATATATTGTCTGACAGTCTGACAAAAAAGCATCTGACACCATCAACGTAAGAAAACTCATGCTGGGACTGCTGGGATAGTACGAATCCCTAACAGGTGAGACCATGGTCACATCGACAGCATCCAAGCAGCCCAAGCAGCCCAGTCTTGCCGGCGTCGCTTGCCATTCTTCCGGCTGATTGAGGCCATTTAGCATGGCATCAATGGTTCACTGAGTTGACGCTCTTGATAGGACACTGGCAATACAGTCGAGTCTTCCGTACTGGGAACGGAATCCTCTGCCGTGAAAAAATCGAATTATGACTATGGCATTAAAATTCACATGTGCATGGGCCTAATGATTCTGCTCCGGTTTGCAAGCAGTGCTGCTTTCAGTGTCAGACTTTCCCTAACCAAATCTGTGTGAAGCCCAAATCTTGCAGCTTTTGATGTCTTTTGTAGCCATATTTTTCCATGACACTTAAGCTTTCGCAGGGCCAAAGCTGCATGGTGGAGAAGTGGAGAACTAGGAAACTGATTGCATGTCAACTAGGGAACTGGGAAACTCCAAACGGTCCAAAATAAACAGCTCTTCTGGATTCTTTTTGCCTAATGTGCCTAAGTCACCACATGTCACAACATGTTACACTTCCGTGGAAAATGTCGAAACCGAAGAAACCACGACGAAGCAAGACAGGAAGGCCTTGGAGCCTGGCCCAGTCACCACAGCTTCAAGAAGTTCAACTGAACATAACTGAACCAAGTCTTTCGTCCGAACACAAAAAAAAAACATGTGATGATATTGGGATGATATTGTGATGATATTGTGATGATATTGTGATGATATTGTGATGATATTGTGATGATATTGTGATGATATTGTGATGCTTGTGATGTCAGAAATTGTCAAACATATGTCAAAAAGTTGTGAAGTCGAACGTGTGACGAATCTTGCGCTAAGTAGGGCTTCCTCTGCTAGACTTTGCTCTTCCGTTTGATTCGTGCGCTGTGTGCGTGTTTATGCTTCGTCTGTCAATCAGCCTCCGCTACATTCCAACATTCCAGCATTGACCATCCTTCATCATGTCCTCCAAATCCTACGTTCTTTCTACTGCCTGCCTCTTGGAGAAACACAAACTTGCCACCGAGTACCCTCTCGATCCTGAAAGGGTTCAAAAGGTTCAAAGGAGAATAGACAGAATAGACTCTTGACATCTCTTGACATGTGGCCATAGAAGAGCGCCCGGAGTGCGCTGCTAAATTTGCCTGGCCCTAAGTCACCCACGACTGAGCACAAGCCCCTTTCACAAGGTCGATGCTGTTCCTCAGCTGAAAAAAACTACACACAATAAAAGCCAGAAAGATTAGATACAGACAATCAGATACAATCAAATCCGCCCGCACCGAAGGTGCTGGGGCGTGATCTTCCGGATGGCACTCGTAAAAGGTTACAGGTTTACCTGGGGGGGGGGGCATTTTTCGGCCAAAACCTCCTGTTTTTGATAGGTCGTGACGCTCGCCTTCAAAAAACACTGTAAAAAACAGTACGGAAGACACCTGTTCGTGAACGCGCCCGTCCAAAATCGGCAAGCGAAAAGTGAAAAAAGCCCGTGTTTTTCAACTTTTTGACCTCAATTTTTTGGTTTGCAACATCTTTTTTTGCGGTTCCGCAGGTGGCCTGGCCCGGAGGCGGATTTTTGAGTTTTTGGACCCGTTTTCGGACTGATTTTCCTCGTTTTGTGATAGCAGAAACACTGGTTTTTACAGTGTTTTTCTGTTTTCTGCATGCTTGACGGCTAGCTGCAAAACTTCCAAAAACCTTGTAAATTACGCTGTTTTATGTTACGGTGTGAATGAAAACATCGTAAATACCAGTGTTTTTTGACGTTGGTTAAAAAAAACACTGTAAATTACAGAGTTTTTGGCCACCTGACCCTCAAAAACCATGGTATTTGCAGTGGTTTCTGCTTCTCACCGCGCAAAAACACTGTAAATAACAGCAATTTCGCCGTTTTTTCATGTTTTTCGTTATTTTTTGAACTGCGTTGGTCCGCTATACATGGCTATCAAATTCTTCGCGTTTTTTTTTCCGACAATCAGTACTTTCGGATGTTTTTGGTCTCAATGGCCGACATCATTGGCAGTTACGAGCGGCTGCCCAACGATGCGGTGCGGGCGGTTGCCGTCGCGAAGCGACGTGAATATAGTAGTTCAGTAGTAATCGAAGCGATGAAGACACAACTAGTAACTATAGTACAAATGCTGATCTGTCCACCTCCACCAGATATTTCCACCTGCACCGATCCTTTGCCAAGCTTCTTCCTAAGCGGAAAGGTCTTGGGATCCCACCTGGCGGATGCCGAAGGATCGTTTTGGGAAGGCAAATCCATTGGAGAAAAAAACCGTTTTACTGGTTGGTGGTATACCTACCCCTCTGAAAAATTTGAAAGTCAGTTGATATTATTATTCCCAATATGTGGAAAAATCAAAAATGTTCCAAACCACCAACCAGTTTACAATATTGACAATACTTTCAAGATCTTCTAAGGAATAAAAATGTTGGGAACACCGCCAAAATCTTAGAGAATTGAATCCCGTTGCTTCCGGCGGTGTGCAGAAAACCTTGGAAGCTTTGCACCCCAAAAACATGCCAAAGGCGGCACTCGATCCTTGCGCAGCAAAGCCATCTTGGCTGCCTGGGCAAGAATTCAACAACTGTCTGCAGAAAAAGAATGAATCTCCATATAGAAATTTAGAAAACTTGCACTGCTGAAACCAGAAATAGTTTTACTCTTGAAACCTGACTCACTAGTGCTGCTTCCGTTGAAAACTCCCTTCCTTTTGATCACATATCGTCTAAAGTTATTGCATAGCCTCAAAATGCCTCAAATTTTGAATCAAAATCACAAGAAGCCGATCGCTGTCATCGTCACGATCATCGCTGTCCACTTCGCTGTCACGTTCCGCTATGTCCACAGGGCCCTCACCTCAAGTGGAAGCCCTGGCTCAACACTTCCTGCCGGAGTGGACATCGACACCGCTCACACCTTTCACACACCCAACGGATTCCCTCATCTGTCTATGTGGTTTATGTAACCACCAGACGGGGCCAAGATCCTTCCAGTTTGCACACGATATACATCTGCTCGGTTCGAATGCCATATGGCCTTTCACGGCCTTTGGCATGAGCGATGTTCCAATTCAAATATGAAGCCATAGTGACCCACCTTGCCTCGAAATATGGTTCCACGCTTGGTTCCACGCTTGGTAGGCTTTGAAGCCAAACGCAAAGTCACGGTCTCAGTGCGAAAACATGAGACAGCTACAACACATTACACCATGCACAAACTGTGGCATAGTGGCAGCATCGCTAATGCGGAAGTTGCTACCCGGCCAAAAATGGTCAACCATCTTTCTTCCGCCTTCTGAGTGCTTCTTCTAGTCGTTCTAACATATTCTAACATGTTCTAACATGTTCCAACCATCACCGCGAAAGCGTATCAAATCTGCTCGACAAGTACTTAGTACTTGTTAGCCACCCAATCATCTACTCCGAAAACCCAGCCTTGCTAGATGGCCTGCAAGAGCTGCAGAAAAGGCGCGAAGAGACAAAAAAAACTGGGATTTTTTTGGATTTTTTTCTGGGATTCTTTTGAGAAAAACTGAGATTTGATTTTTTTGAGATTCTTTAAGATTCTTTGGGATTCTCTCGGGTTCTTGAAGATTCTCAAGATGCAAACTGACAGACACAAGTAAGTCGCAGGGCCATCCAGCCCCGTCCCGCACCTGAAGTTGGAGTTTGAGCACTTGAACTTTTCTGCAGGCAAGATGCGCTGTATCCTGAAAAGGAAAAGCTAAAGGAAAAGCCAAATTGGAAGAGCTCTGGGAGATTAGCTCTCCTCTTGTACAGCACTTCTCAAGGCAGGTTGTAGGGCAGGGGCCGGGGAACTGTTCAACTGTTCCCCATAAAACCAGAGAAACCAATCCAAAGAATCGAGTTCTCAGTACAGCTGACATCTGCCACTCATTGAGCTCCCAGACACGTCTGCAAGATGCTGTTCAGAGCGCAAAAAGTTTGGAACATCTTCCTGGACTGGATCCTGGTTGAAGGCATTTTCCTGCACGAAACCAGCGGGGATGGGGCCTCAAGTCCACCGCAGTGCTGCAACAAAGCAATCCCTGCCTCTGCGTCACACTTAAAGCGAGGCCTCTGTTTTGAATGTCCAGTTGGGTCCGGAAAACATGGAAAACATGGAAAACATGGAGCTCAGTCTACTTGAAGCTTGAGGTGCTTTTTTGCCTGCAAACGTTTGCTGATGTTTGCTGGTTTGGTCTCGATCTGTCCCAAAAAAACCTGTGGCCAACACTGAAGTACCTGGCACGCACTATCCAACACATTTGCAGTTGCTATAATCAGATGCATGTTCTCATCAAAGTCCAACTCAAAATCACCCAAGGGCCTCGGACTCCGACTGACACAGTTCGATCATCTTGTCACAGCTGTTTTTCCGCCTGCAACAAGTAATTTCTACATGCCGCAATGTCTAGTTCCAACACTTGGAATTCTTTCTCGGAGCAATACGCACTATTTTGAATTGGAGAGCATGAAAGAGGCGCGAGGACAGCATGAAATTAAACACAAAGGATGACACATGGCTACAGTCCAAGTCCCACAAATGCAGCTGTATTTTCTGTGTCCCTCCCGGCAGTACACCACAATTGTTATTGGAGAACTTGTGCTTCCATAGTTCAGAACTTGTGCGTTCCCACAACCCTCGGAGGGGTTTCGGTTTCGAGAAGGTAACCCAGCTGAAGTGGAATCTCGCCGCGACTTGGGACTTGTACATGTCGTCATGTCGAATATAAACATACCAACATTTGTAACATGAACATGCAAACACAATAAATACACATATACATGCACAAGCATGTGCGTGTAGATAAACATGTATATTTAGATATGAAGAAACCTGCAGACGTAGACGTAGAGGTAGACATAGACATAGGTATCGATAGGCATTGTAGATATAGATATAGACATAGATATGCATACACATATTCATATGCATATGCATGTACATGTACATATACATAAACATGCGGCAAACGCTCCAGGGGTTGTGTTTTGGTCCTTCTGTGATAACCTTGGTTCTTCCACTGGTTTCTGTTTCTATTGTTTTAAGGGTTGGTCTGTTGATGTTTCAGTTGAGAATATTTACCAACAGAGGC